TGGATAATTGACCACATCAAATTTACCTCCATTGTTTTGATCAATGACGTCATTGGTTTTGATGGCTAAAACGACACTATCAAGACTTTATTTTAACATTCTTTAAAATATGACTTGAAAAAATTGTTGCTTTAATAAAAGGGATGATAAAATCAGAAAACAATAAAACTTGTACAAGTTTGGTTCAGATTGCGGAGCTACTGATGTGAGAATGTTTGGAATCATATTTAATTGAATACGAATCATGGTTATTAAACTACTGTTTTAATATTCTTTTAGTACTCGTACTTATTTAAAGGGGCATTATGTAAGATTAGATAAAGAGCTGGCAGTTCTCGCTATAATAGTTAATAAATAGATAATGAAAAGAGAATATATATGAAAATTTCAATCAAATTATTTTACTCTGAGCCGAGTTATCGCTGATACAATTACAGGATAGCCTCGATTGTCATTGCTACTGTTGTTAAGATAATAAACAAAGACTTGATTATCCATTTTTACATTAAATCATCAACCACAAATCATATTTATATCCAATGATAAAGCTAGACTATACAATGGCATTGAGTGTTGATTATGGAATTGTCATGTTAATTAAGGTCTTATCAATAATTTATGTAACATTTAAGGCCTAAAGAAAGGTCTACCTGCAATAGGCAGATTTAGCTCTTGCATAATGCCTGTTTAATCTGGGCCATAGAAAGCAATAACTTGATTATAGATAATAAATTTTGATCATTATAGATGATAAAATTGATCAATATAAACAGTGTGTCATTTGTAATGAATTACAATAGTAAACTTGGTAGAGAATGTTACAAAACAAAATTTTCTATACAAACAAAAGTGAGCGTGGATGACAGACCCATAGGGCTGTTTGTGCGTGTTTAATTCCTGAAGGAAGACGGTACCTTGTATGAAAGTGTTTTAGAAATAGATTTTCTGTCATTGTAAAAAGCCTGGCAGTACTAATACTTACATAAAGTACAAAACAATTTGATGTTAGCTTCCATAGCATGACTGTCATTTATATTTTACTGATATTGTTAACCAGTGAGTAACTGCCTTGAGTCTACAGTGACATTCCTCAATGTACAGTTTATTCCTTACAATATACTGCTGCCTCCAGACTTTCAGATCAACAATAGCTATATTAAGAAACAAAATAAACTTAGTAACATGTTACTTGTTTATACAACTTACCGTAATCAACATAAAAATTGTCAACTTGGTCCAGTATTTCCATAATCCATGATAGTCTTAGTAATTTAAATACACGTAGGTTGTAAAATAGAGCCACGCCACAAATCATATCACTTCTTGCAACATATAGCACCACTTATGCTGCCACTTTCAACATATGCTGCCAATTGCAACACATCATGTCGTCACTTTTAACATATGCCACCAGCCATTTGCAACATATACCACCAGCCACTTGCAACATATCATGCCACCACTTGCAACATATCGTGCCATGCACCACTTTACAACATATCATGCTAGGAGTGAAAATATGAAATATGTGACAGTTTATTTTAGTTGGAAACCACTGTATATGTATAGCCAGTATATGTATAGTATTAATATAACTGTATATTGTTCAAGTTCTTGGGAAATTGTTCTATACTTACGTTTAGTGTACATGGGATGGGATGGTCTAGTACTTGTGAAATCACAAGATCTGTCATTGGGTCAAGTTGTGTGGTTTCAGTTCACCACTTGAACGTGACTGTAGGGTTGCCTCTCCAACCTGGAGGTTTTTCTCTGGGTCCTCTGGTTTCTTCCCACTGCTAGCGATTTATTGAATAAAATTGAACCATATGTTAGTCCCGAAATGACCTAGTATGTTTTAAGTGGACGTTAAACCCCATTTCTCTCTATTGTGTATGTTATCTGTTGATAAGTTTATCTGTGTATTGATTTTATATGATTTTATGATTTTTACCTTGTATTAAATCTTGGTCTGTAATTTAAGTATTGAACATAATTACTTGGTGAATAAATGTCATAGTTTCTACGACCCCCTGAAATATCCATTAATGGAATATGACGTCTTTTATGAAAACGTGACAAGTATGTAAGACAATGGTGGGTTTCTTTATGTATGTGAAATTAAAACTAAACTAGGCCAATAAGATTAACTATTTTTGAACAACCTTGAAGATCCATTAAGAAATGACCACTACGACAATCCACTGTATATCGAAGTTTAATATCTTTTACTGAAGCCAGATATCTGTCACGTATTAAATATATTATCACAAGTCATGATCCACCTGTAGGCTAATAAACCAACAGTTTAACTAAATACTCTGTTGACTTTGTGGATTTCCAGTGAAGAGTGAAAACATCCCTAATAGAATTTCAACAAAATATCTTCTTTTCGTGATTGAGTGACTTCTAGACAGAAACTGTTGATCTTGAAGTGGTATCCAGTGTTCTAGAATGAATAAACATAGCCTACCTTGTTCATGACACCTTTCACCACTTGTAGCTCAATGTAGCTATAATTTAAAATATGTCTGGAGCTTAACAGTGATTTTAAATGGACTTTATTTTTTCATCAATGTTTGCTCATTTTAACTTCTGTTATTGTTGATTGAGATCTACAATTTGTGTCTGTTATTATAATATCGCTTATATAATTATTTTAGCAGTAACTTAGACTACAGGTTGAATGTAAGAGTACTGTAATTAAAATCACTGGTAAACACATCTCATGGCCGTGTAGTGTAATACATCAGTTACATGTAGGCTTAATGTATATCAACGTTCACTGCCAACAATTATTCTTTAATGGATTTGCAAAAATGTTAGCGAGAAAGTGGTTACCGACAACTTGACATACCTGTTACTTGAAGCATTTAGTTGCAGGATTAGACAGCGCCGTGCCGCTCACTGGCGATTGATGAGTACACAGTGGCAGTTGTCTTTAGAACTTTATAATTTAGACTTTCGGATTATTTGGGTAAAAAGTTGTGAAGATGGTTTCTAAACTTCCGTTGTTTATTATGTCTTTATTGCGACCTAAAGGTACAGTGGAATTTATTTATGTTTTAAAAAGTTGAAATACTTGTTACATGATTTCTCGTTCTGTATTTTACCAAATTTTGTAAGTTTAGCCTTGAGTTTAGGTATATATGTTAATCTGTTCCAACATGATGTATAGAGTTACATACATATATTAAAGGTTATGGATACAGTAAATATAGATTTATAGATGATAAAAGTAGAATATTAAACAAAAAGATGAAGATTATAAACAGATATAAACAAGAGTTAGATGATGGCTGGGACTAGATATTACTGCAAATAACAAAAAACAAACATGAAAATGAATGCTGCTGTTATGTGAACAGACATTACACACCATAAAAATCATACAGATATTTATTTTGTCAGTTCAGGAGCTGCTGTCTTCATTAGACAGTTAATACAGAAACCTAGACGTTGAAACACAATTCATTTCATAGGACAATTTCTCTTTGATTTTAGGTCAAAATAAATTTTTGAAATGGATTGACACCAGCTCTAAACAGTTAATAGTAGTTTATAGATTATATTAATGATACAACAGGCCAGATGGTTTATAAATATTCTAGTATATAAATATATGTTTATATTTATGTAAAGGCAATTTGTTATGATTAAGTTTTGAAATAACAATTTATGTAGAATATATTGGCTCATATAAAAAAATTAGCAGAATTATTTTTACTATATTGTCTAAGACACATAAAGATTGTGGATTTGAAATCACTCCAGGGAGCCATGGTGGCTCTGACTCACTAAGAAGGAGACCTTGGATTTGACGCGCTATTGGCTGAGATGTTCCTCAGAATTTACCGTGTAGCTTCCCATGTCAGTGGTCTAGTCATTTGGATGATACGAAAAACTAAGGTCCCATGTACACGTTGGTGTGCACATAAAGGATCCCTTGGCAGTTGGAATTCAAGATAAGAGTAGGCCTTCGCTATGCCTTCCAGACAAAATTTCCGCCGTTGCACGGCGTATGTCAGTATTCATTATTAGCCCTGTTGATGCAGACAAGTAGGACATGAACTCCCATTTCATTTCAGTAAAATCCAATCTAAGTTAAACTTGAAATGGCCATAACTTAAGTTATAATAGACCAGATAAAATTCCTTTTGGTTGTGTATGTTTTATATTCAACTTTTAATATAGCATGTTGAGTTTTTAAATTTATGATTTAACATTCAATGGTTACTTATATTGAGTTGTATCCTAGTAGTAGTAGTTTTTAAGTATAGACAGATCAAATTATGTTAAATCAACACTTTTAATTTTGACCTATCTTAGCCATCTTAAACTTATAGGATTTATAGAGAAGAGCCCTTGAGATTATGTCTTTAAGTATTTTAAAACAAAACTATTGGCTTTCAACTGCTGGCTTTCTTGTCTGTACCATAAAAATATCTGAGATGAAGTAAAACTGTTGATGTTATTTGACTAGGTGATTTAACCTGTGTTCATCAGCCATAAGATGAAAGTAAGAGTATCGGAACTTCTCACAGAAACACCCTATCGGAAAAAAGCCAGACTCACTTCCAAGACGTTGTTTGTTGCTTAATAGCTCAATAAATTTCTCTTTTTTTTTTATGTTCCCCACAACAAAAATTCCTATAAATTTCCTGGTAACTAAATATCTTGTTTAAAGATACAATATGCAAGTTTTTATGCAGATATGACAGAAGTTGTCTAATCCAATCCATATTTAAGCCATTCCATGGTCTAGAGTGTTTATTATGAGCTTGACATGTTAATAATGTCTATATGATAATTTATATAACATTTGAAGCCAGTAAACGCCCTGCAATAGGCAAGTTTAATTCTTGCATAATGCTTCTTTAGATTGGTTTGAATCTCAGGGCTTGGTTCATTTTAGATATAAAAAACATTTTCCCATACAATTTTGACAATGTTTGTAAAGATTTGATTTAAAAAATCTAAATTATTTTTTTTTATATTTTCAGTCTCACCACGGCCGCATCCATCAAGTGAACCAAAGTCGGCACCACCAACCATGGCACAGTCATTAGGTAATGAGCATACACATGCCATGATATACAAGTCAAATCTAATGAAGGTAAGTCACTTAATTCAATTTTACAGTTATTTCATTTGTTAATTAACTCGTGAGTGTTGACAGTAAACCTTGTTGGATCTGGTTTACAAAACATACATATAAGTAGTTAGTACACACAAAACAAATATATTTATTATATTACTGTTGAATTTGACCTCATGAGAGTTATCAGCCCTTGTAGCAACTCCTGAAGACAGAATCAAAATGTCCAGATTTTGACATGTAAAACTAAATAATACGAGCAAAGTAATAAAAATTCTAAATATTTATCTCCTGTCTGAACCTCAAACAAAATGTATATGTTAATTGACCATACTTCTGTAAAACCATTTAACATTAGCATACCAACACCTATTGCTGGTCCAAATCATCTGTTTCCTGTCATATCAGTTATTATCACACTAACTGTTATAAAATAAGTGTTATAAGCAGGCCTTTAAATAACAATGTTGGATGTAGTTGACATTTTATTAGTACCTGCATTTTGAACTTTGGTCTGGATATATATCAATAAAAACACAGAAAAAAACAAATCTGTAGCAGACAAAATGAAAGGCACCATTGGGATTGTGTCTGTGACCAATGCCTTATTTTCAGGCTTGGTTAGAATTGAACTATAAAATTTACATAGTGAATATTTACCCCTTTAGGTATTTGGTTATATGACCTGAATAAATTGTAACCCACAACAATTCCTTGTATAAAATAGAATCAAGGCACCATTATTTTTTGTTTTCTTTCTTCAGACTTTAGTTTGTAAAAGAATTTTACCGTTTGTACGTATAATATATTGTCCCATGTTTTGTGATATTATAACATGTATTATCCATTAAGCTTCGTTCATTGCTCTCTGTTTTACTGTCAGTCTTATCGATTGGTTCAATAATAAGTTGAGAATTAATAATATTATAATATGATAGTGCAATTAATGTTCTCATGTTTCATGTAGTTTCATATAGAATTGTTGTGTTTTTGTGGTTAAGATCAATAAGCATTTTCTGAATAATATCTTTATTGCCCTTTTCGGCATGAAAAATTTGATATATGTTAAATTAACAATAATTGAATGTGCATCTCAGTAATGAAACATAAATTTTGCCAACCTACGCCAACCCTATTAAATTACCAACAGACACATCCAATCTGCCTCTATATCTACAATGTTTAAACATTGATATTGACTTATACTGAACATGCTTTTTCGGAATACAGGATTGAAAAAGTCCCTCGCAACCTCCAATTAACTCCCCTTCCAACCCCTTCCCTCCTATCAATTTGCGAATTGTTATAACATTTGAAGCCTGATGTTTGCTACTTTAAAATGCTTGTCTCCATAAAGGGGTTTTGCTAGATTTGTCAACATTGAATTACATTTTGATTTTAGGCTGACACTTTAGAAACAATGTCTGGATAAGTGAGACCATGATTAGCCACCTCCAGGAATAAGGGTTAAAGCAAACCCAAGCCGATGGACTATTATCAGGACTATCTGGCAATATACCTTAAAAAATTCTTTATCTTTTATTTATCTGATATCGAAAAAGTTTCAACCATGTTTAATTTGAAGTGCAAACTGTTTTTGTGACCATATGAAGGTAACTGTTAATGCACTGTACTAAAAGTATATAAAACAGTTTTCAATTAAATGACTTCATTCCTATAGTTAGTTACCTACAGTACAACCGTGTGTTTTGACATGTATATATCATTAAATACCTTTTAATTTCACTTCACAACCATGTGTTTATAAAGTTCAGTGAGTATATATAGCCGTTATTATACAATCACATGGTTTGGTTTATAAACAATGACTGACAGTTATCCTGATGACCATCTAATTAAAACACAGATCCTATTTTGTTATGCTTTTTTTATAGTTCAAAATTTTGTTTTACTTGTCTTTATATAACCCACGTTCTGGTTGATGTGATGGATTAGTCAATCAGACGGTCTGTTGCGGCGAGTTCTTGGTGAGCGGTGCATGGAACTGTGGGTATCCCTCTAGAAACATCAACACTGATTGGTTAATCAAATGTCTGATGTAGTGGAGGCCATCGAAAGTATAAAAAACTAAACAAAATATAGATCTGTATTTTAATCAGATTGCCCTGATGATGTCATAGCCAGCATCTCAATTGATGAATTCCAGTCAAAATAAGTTGTTCTAGAGGTTCTTTGTTGTGAAAACTATATTATTATCAGATAACGAATATGATATAAAGAATCTGCAACGGGTAGACCGTGTACATAAAAGGAGAATTATTCCGCTCTCTACCTATGTTGGTGTGGCACTACGTTTCAAATCCAACTCAACACTCGGTTCTTTGTCTGGGAACATGTTTTTGTTTGTAATTTGTTTGTGGAAATATGATGAAAGTACGATATTATAACTACATAAAAGGGAATTTATTTTGCTATACACCTATGTTGGTGTGGCACTATGTTTCAAATCCAACTCAACACTAGGTTCTTTGTCTGAGAACTTGTTTTTGTAATTTGTTTGTGGAAATACATGTAACCACTAACCTACACGTAATGTAATTTATGTATAAAAACTGACATGAATACTGCCGTTCTTTGATAAAGATGGTCTCAGGTGTTTAACTACAAATTACACCCCACTGAGATTTAATCCATTATAGCAAAGATATTATATCATCTGTTTAATAGATTGACAATTTAAAAACAATTATCTAGGTCAGGTGATCAGGATATGTGCACCTGTAACTATATTATGCCACATTAGTTTTTTGTTTTATGTTTTTACATTTCAGCTGAGTCAGGATTCAGACAGTGATAAGATGGAAATAGAAGATTTAGGTTTGTAGAATTAAAATTTACAATCTTCTCTTGTTGAGAGACAAGATAAACTAGTTACCTACTCCATCTTGCATTATGGCCCAGTTTGTTGATAACTGGGGCTGAAGTGAAGAAAAAAGTTATCCCATGTTGGCATATTGCCAAGTTGTTAATGTGGTTTCTCCCACAGATTCTAAAATAAACCTAGAAACATGTAGCCAAGATAAAAAAAAAACATTCATATGAAACATTCATTGCCAAGATAACAAACATACATTGCCAAGATAACAAACATTCATATGAAACATTCATTGCCAAGATGTTGAACATTCATTGCCAAGATGTTAAACATTCATATTAAACATTCATTGCCAAGATATCAGACATTCATTGCCAAGATTTTAATCAAATATTGCCTAGATGTAAGCCATTTGGCTTAGTTACAGGCCGGTAGAATATGGATTAAGAAGAAAGAAGCATCCTTTCCCATTGATCTATTTGTTTTGAGGTTTGATGGTCTGTTATCTGGGGTCCCATATTTTAGGGCTCCCACTTCCATGTACCGGTACACATCATAAATTGTAAGTATGTATAAAAGTTCCATTGACAGTAGGAATTTGAAGAAGGGTAGATAGAAATGCCACTGCTGTGTCATAATCCTCTTTGAAGTATTAAATAGAAATAACCAAATGTTTTTAAGTTATAGTGTCAATTAGCTCCCATTCTATAAAGTATATTAACAAAATAAAACGGTTTTAAAAAAATGTTTAAATATTTATTTGAGCCAATGACCTCTAAATTAGGCCATTCTCATGTGAATGAGAGATTAATTCTCATGTAAATAAGTAACGAGTAAAATACTTGATGAACCTTCAGTCATATTGAACCCTGTTGTCCCTGTCTACCCATTCATTCATCAAGACTGTTTTCGATGTTCAGTGTAATGTCAAAATTCTTCTAACCCCTCTCACGCCATTGACTAAATGTATTTACACTACTCAAAGGTCTTTCAAACACTGGGTATAAATTTGTAACCTTTGAAATAATAGACCTAGATAGGTGTATATAAAACAAAATGTAAAAAACTTGATTGTGGATAACTTTTTAAGTATGTTTTTCTGCTGTTATAAAAAGATTTCACAAGGTACATTCAAGATTTTTATCACTTTCTTTATTAACCAAAAGAAAAGAAAGTTGAATGAAGACATTTTTTTATGATTGTTGTAAATTTGTATTTTTAATTTCTGTTTTTCAGAAGACAATATAGACCAAGCTTTTGGTAAATTTATGCGAGCCCATAAATGTTATGATTTAATACCTACCAGTGCCAAATTGGTTATTTTTGACACCCAATTAAATGTAAGTATTCAACTTTATTTGGGGTTTGTCTGCCAGATTTATTTCTGTGTACCGATGTTAGTAGTGCAAGAAATTTTGTTTTACCAAAACAGCACAAAAGGGGACAACACTTTTCCAAGCTGGGCATAACAAACATAGTTATTGCCAAATGTTCGTTGACATTGTGATGTGTGGTTGAAATTGAGTTGACCTAAAACAGGATATTTAAATACCTGGATGTATTTATAGAGCTATTGAAAACATTTTATTATAGGTATCACATGTATCTCAAAACTCAATATATTTTAAAGTAAAGACTAACTATGTACATCTGTGCATTAAAAATAACTTTAATGAGGAATAGACTGGCTTGTATGAAAAATAATTATACCTTATTTATATATGGCAGTCTGAAATCAGTACAATTAATTCATTTGATTAATTTCTTAACAAAATTGATTTTTAGTAATCACGTTTTTGATTGTGTATGATCGTAAGCTCAATATTTAATATTTTTTCCTGGCATCAATATTTGGGGGTCCTACATGTCACTTGTTTTACAGATAATCCTGTGATGTTCCATCTTTATAATCAGTTCACCACTTCTATTAGCCATAATGCTAGGTTCCTACTGTCGTGCGATGCGTTATTGAGTCCACGATCTGCTACGATCTTCGATAGGATCAACACGATTGCTACGATTGACCTCAATATATGATAAGACCTGATAGGATCACCACGATTACTTCACAATTAAAACCACCATTTCAATCGTAGCACAAATCATCAAAGTGGGAACCTTGCATTACCAGTATATGTATGTATATATACAGTTAACATTCTTGGCTGTGGTATTATAAAATATTGGTGGACAGATTCTAATATTGCTTCAAAGCATCATATATTGAACCGGGGTCATAGAGATGTTAATTAGTTGAAATATTAATATTTATTTGATTGACATGTTTTGTTATAGGTAAAGAAAGCGTTTTTTGCGTTGGTATATAATGGTGTTCGAGCAGCACCACTATGGGATTCTAAACAACAAGATTATGTAGGTTCGTATACATATTTAACATGTGTATATTTTTAACACTAGCAATTGTATGTAAACAGGTACTTGACAGCGCTCCAATATTATATTTCAGTCCCAAGTGTCAGTTAAATTTACTAGCCGAGATATGCCATAAAATTAGTCATTCATATTTAAAATTCATATCAAAACCCTGATAGATAAATTATGGTGAATCGATTTTGTAATAAATTGACTAACAAACGAAATTTGAAGTGAGAGCTATTATAACAGAAACCAGATTACCAATTATTTATAAAATCTAGGGATAAATGACAGAGTGAGATATCTACTGCTAAACAATAAATGCTTGGATTATTTTATTGTTAAATTGTATGATAGTCAACATTATAATTTTTGATGTAGACTATTTTGACTGCCTAAGAACTTCTTTTAAGTGACATTTTGTAACTGAACAGTAACATTCTACAAAAATATATGGAAAAACAATTACTGGTTTATTAACATGCAATGTTTTGATAGAGTATAATCGTTGAAACGTTTCATGTTAATATACCAGTAATTGCTATTACCTATATAATTTTTAGTGTATTTTGACTGCACCACTACAAATCTATGGCTAATGTTTTTAAATAATTAATATTATATATTCTTGTATTTATTTTCAGGAATGTTAACTATAACAGATTTCATCAATATACTTAAAATGTATTATAAATCTCCACTGGTAAGTTGAACAGATTTCTTTCCACATGAAAATTAGTCCAATCAAAATGGTTGTGACAGTAGGAATTACTTGATGCTGTTTTACTGCAATGTTTGTATTGTAGAAACGTGGAGGATGTTACGTAATGAAACCAATTTCAGAACAAATTAGTTTAATTTCTGAACAATACAACAAATGGAATAGTCTTATTGGGTTGTGATTTACTGAGAAAAACAATGGGTTGGATACAGAATTTCAATTATAGGAATAAAGAATTATATATATGTGCATTTAATGTGAATTAAGAATCACAGATAACGTTAAGAATCACAGATAGTCATCTTTAAACATTGTACTCTTGATTACAGGTAAAAATAGATGAATTAGAAGATCATAAAATAGATACTTGGCGAGGTAAATATTTAACTTCTTCACAGTAAAATTACTTAAACATACATTATGCAAGAGCTAAATCTGTCTATTGCAGGTCTTTCTTTAGGCCTGAAATGTTATCTAAATTATTAATTATACATTAATTAACCCATCCAGACCATAATCAACTCTAGATGGCATCGCTTTCCTTCCCCATTAAACGATTAAATGGATAATCGAGACTATGCTGTTTATCGTACTGACTTTAGTAATGATGACCGAGGCTAGGCAGAAATTTGATTCGCTTAGTTCTCGGTTCATAGTGGATCAATTTGAATGAAATTTTCAGCAAATTGCTTTTATGTTATCTAGTTTTTAATTATTATAGTGAGAACTGACAATCTCCCATAATGTATCTTTAACTAGATAGTTAGTGTGCTCTTGTGAGTTACATTACAGATCTAGACAGCTGGCATGCTCTATTGAGTTATATTACAGAACTAGACAACTAGTGAATTAAAATATTATGGAACTAGACAGTTAGTGTGCTGTAGTGAGTTATGTTGCAGAACTAGACAGTTAGCATGCTCTAGAGAACTAACAGACCGGTTCGAGAAGGCAGGTTTTTGCATTTGGTATTTAGAGTACCTAGGCCGTTAGTTTCACATTCAAGCCATCGTATAGTCCATAAAAATCAGATGTCTCCTTTAAATTGCTACCTATTATATACATACCATCTTTTATCTAAGAGGATAAGACAATAATAGAAGTATGATTTATTTCATAAAGTTTAAAATGTATATTAATATTTTATTTATAGATTTATTTAAAACACAACAGAAGAAATTTGTTTGTATTGATCCGGATGAGAGTTTATTTGATGCTGTTAAAAGATTATTAGAATCACATGTACATAGATTACCTGTTATAGAGAAAGCTACTGGTAACGCTATCTATATTCTAACACACAAACGAATATTGAGATATCTCTACCTCTATGTAAGTCTTTTGTTTATTTTTTATACTGACATTTAATATTAAAGTGAGGTTCTTCTGAAAAAGGGGGATTGGATAGCCGAATGGTTAGCATGTGCACGCTGTATCATAAGGTTTGTCATTGAGTCAGCTGACGTGGTTTCCATTCCCTGGGTGTACGTGACAAGGAGTAGGGTCGCCTGTCCATCCTCATGGGTTTTCTCTGGGTCCTCCAGTTTTGAACTAAAGCTGAACCATACATTAGTCCCGAAACGACGTAGTTAATGTAGAGTGGATATTAAACCCCATTTCTCTCTCTCTCCCCATCTGAAAAATATCTCTCGGGGTGACATATTTGCATTTATCGTGATTATTTCTACAGTATATATTTCTCTAATGGATGATGATGTAAAACTGCTACAATACAGTAGTTGAATATCCTAACAGGACAAAAGATACACAAAAAAACCTACAGAAAAACAAAACATGTGCATGTTGATTTAGGTTTGAATGACAATGCAATATAAATGTTTCATTCTTAAAATAAAATACTTATTTATACCTTCTGGAAATAAACAAAAAAATTAGTAAAATAGAAAGAAATAAAATACAGTAATTATATTTTTCATTATATCATGATTACTAGGGGTTTTTTTCCTCTCTATTATAGTATATGTTGATTTGTTTATATATATATATATGTATGAATATGGTATATTTTAGATGAAGGATTTACCATCACCAGGATTTATGAGTCAGACATTAGAAGAATTAAATATAGGAACACTTAAAAATGTTATCACTGTAAGTAGCTCATGATCAATAAACTTAATAGAACACCTCATACCACTTATCTACTATAGTTCACTTTTGTTGTTAAAATTTCTACATTATGACTTAATTATAAAATCCTATATTTATAAAATTTTGATTGATGTCTAAATCAAGATAGGGATGGGTTGGTCTAGTGGTCTAATGTGTGTGCTTTAGATCATAAGGTATGTGGAACAGTAGGATGTTAAACCCCATTTCATAAGGTATGTCATTATCAGGGGTCGCAATCACGCAAAAATCTGCGTATTTCACACATTTTTTTTCAAAATAAACGCAAATATTGACGGACGCTGTATAATTTACACGCAGAAAATTTCCCCGACGTGAGAATAATTAGATTATTCTATGTCGTCGTTTGTACAATTTATGTGCTTCACCCGGCATTTATACACCTCTACTGTACGTAGTCTCTGTAGTTTTTTATATTTCCTCTTATTTCATTCATAAGTTCATGGCAGTAAGCCTACTTAGCTATCCTATTGGAAGCAATAAAGCGCATTTCATACAAGAGTTGGGATTGACTAGAACAAGATATACTTTTTAGATACAGCCAATCAAATGTTGGCTTTCATAGCGATAGTTTTCTCTTTACGTCCTGTCGAAGTGAACGATTGAAATGACTGTGCCGTCAACCATAGACATGCCGTTAACCTCCAGTCGTCATTAGACTAAATACAGTAGGCATATCAATGAAATAAGGATGCTTAAAATAAGGTTGTTCACAAAACGACTTTACATGCTTCTATATTGAATATTTTAAGAGGCTCTTCACGCAGATGTAGAGGGCAAAAACGCAAAATTTTGGAATGTCTGCGTATTTTTACGCAACTCGAAATTGATCCACTGCGACCTCTGGTCATTATGTCAAGTGGTGTGGTTTTTGATTTCAAGCTGGTTATATAACAAGGAGTAGAATCGTCTGTCCAACCTCATGAGTTTCCTTCGATTAGTTATTGAAATAAAATTGAACCATATATTAGTCCTAAAATGACCTAGTTTGTGTTGAGTGAATGTTAAACACTATTTCTCCCTCTCTGTATCTAAATCAGAAAGTGTAAGCTGTTTGACAAATAGATACATCAGCTGAAAGTCCCATCTTTAGTTTAAAGTCGATCTTTATTATAATCATATGATGGTTAACATATTTTCCAGGCTACAAAAGAAACACCTCTTATTAAAGCCCTAAATTTATTTGTACAACATCGTATATCTGCTCTACCCGTGACTGATAACCAGGGAAAGATAGTTGATATATATGCTAAATTTGATGTCATTGTAAGTATTCATACTAGTATTTTGATTTTAAGCCTCAATACGCCAAATGGCTAATAGCTATTTTCTTTATTTAAATTTTACAAAATTAATATTGTGTCGGAAGATGTTTTTTTAGGTACCGTAGTAATCTAGACAGTTAATGAAAACATCCAGGTTAAAAGCCATCATGATGTTTGTACCGGTAGATGAAAACAAGTTATTTTTCGGTAACTGGTGGACATTCTTACAGAGAAAATGATCTCATGAAATCAATAGAAAGTAACACCATTGATTAATATTTTGCTAAAACAAAAAGCATCATGTGGTCTAAGGGGAGATAAGAGAGATAAGCAGATGAGTTGCCTCCCCTTGTCCTTGTTGGTACATTTGTTTTATTAAGGCTTTGAGATCTTCTGAAATAAACTGACTTTTAAAATATATATAGCAATTATATGCTGTTTTAAATTAATATTTTGTTATGTGTTTTTCAGAATTTAGCAGCAGAGAAAACATATAATAATTTAGATATTACAATAGAACAAGCACTATTACATAGAGATCAGGTACATTTTCATTTTATGTTTAATTTCTGTTATAATCTATCAACAATTGGATTTATTTATTTAACTATGGCCAGTGATATACAAATTCTACATGTTTATATGTCTACAAATTTATTCTAAATTTATTTTTTGGCATTGAAAGTGAAATATAGATATTACAGTTATCACATTTTTGCTCAAATTTCATAGTTTTTCATCATATAAATTTACCTCTTAATTCAATGTTGAGGATTCTTTACCAATATGTTTAACCACACTTGAATTTTACAGTAAATATACATGTGGGGTAGTAAAAGATCATAAGATTCTTATAGACAATTAACAGAAGACAATTTTTACGGGAAATAATCATTGGTTTTACATAATCAAACACATTGCTCCTTACACAAATTAAATAACAATAACAAGAAATAAAAAGTTAAAAGATTTCACAAAAAAACAAACTTATTATAAACAAGTTGAGCTGTTACTTCTTTGATGGATATGTAATAATTGAACATATTAACACAAGGTACAATTTTATGGATACACAATTACTGGAATTGTGTACAAATGAAATTGTACTTTGTGTTAATATGTTCAATTATTACATACCCATTAAAGTACAATTTCATTCATACACAATTCCAGTAATTGTGTATCCATAAAATTGTACCTTGTGTTAAGTTAAATTATATCTGTTTAACTGTTTATATATAAATGTTTTACAGCAAGGAGTTGAGAGTGTAGCCAGATGTAGAGCAACAGAAACATTAAAATCTGTTATAGAAAGAATTGTAAAGGCTGAGGTAAGTTGTGTGAGCGAACCTGGTTAATATTGTTAGATCTTATTGGCATTCGGAGAGGAGAACACCCTTATGACTGACTGGATAGCATGTATGTCTTCCAAGTTAACGGACATAGGTTTCAATCCCAACAGAAGCTATACCTGTCATGTTCACATAAGTAATAATTTGTATTGTAATTTGTATCTGGGAGCCACGGTGGCTAGGTGGTTAAGACGCTGGCTTGCTAGCCTGGAGGTCGGGTGTTTGATCCCTGCATTGGCCGAGAAAGTTCATCCGGATTTCGACTTGGTATCCCCTTGTCAGTGGTGCAGAACGGAAGGGCCTGACAAGGACAGCTGTCTAGTCCTTCAGATGATACGAAAAACCGAGGTCCTGTGTATACATTGGAATGCACATAAAAGATCCCTTGGCAGTTGTAATTCGATATAAGAGTAGGAGATAATGCCGCTGCCCGTGCAAAATTTCCCTCATAGCACACTGTATGGCGTATGCCCGTCTTCATTAGCCCAGTATAGGAGCAGAACAGTAGGACGTTAAACCCTTATTTCATTTCATTTCATTTTGTATCTGTTAAACGAGGAGATTCATAGCTTATCTAAACACAAGGGTTTAATACTGCTCTGAATCTTTCTGCTTCTTATTTCTAAAATATAAAGACATCTTTAAACCATTGTAAATTTTGATCACATTGGTTTTCGAACTAGCCAAACAATCCTAGCAAGAGTTTTAAAAAAAACCCTCAAAAACTCTTTAGCTATTAGAGTGTTTACAAGCTTTTGGTGACAAGGGCCATAACTTACCATTGGCAAGAAATCAAGACAGACTTTCTTGGCCAACAACAGAAGAGAACCTGAGACTTCTTGGTTAGCAAGCCAGTGTCTTATTAACTGAGTTGCTGTGGCTCCCCACAAGACTGTTCTTTTATATATTACTGTATTTACTGGGTTTTTTTACAGGTGCATCGTTTAGTTATTGTGAATGATAAAGATATAGTAACAGGAGTTATCTCACTATCAGATATCCTAAAATATATAGTTCTTAGACCCATGGGTAGGTAGTATTAAAATATATAGTTCTTCAACCCAGGGGTAGGTAGTTTTATTATATAGTTCTTAAACCAATGGGTAGATAGTATTCAGATATATATCTAAAACCTATGGGTGGGTAGTATTAAAATATATAAATCTTAAACACATGGGTAAATTGTATTAGATTTAGTGTAAATGTAATGGCTGTAGTAGAAAGAGAAAAGCACAAACCTCATGGTAAAAATGAAACTGTTCCTGGTCAAATTTAATATTCAACAATATTTCACATACATTATACCTCTGAAATGTTTTACTATAGTTTAAGTTGATTCTATTTTTTGTCATATATTTCCAGAAACTCACTGAACAATACAACAATCATATGGTTGATGATCATCCTGAAATATTAAATTGACTGATCACCAGTGTAACAAGAAGAGTGTTTAAAACAGCTAATTTATTTTAACATCTAAAACATTCATTTACAACTGTATCAGGTTATGTATTGTTAATATATAATCTTCGTTTCTCGTTTCTACTCATATACAGTTTTGTCAGATATAGAAATCAGAGAACAATTACGATCATTAATTTCAAGATAGGAAAAATTCTACCTTGTGGTTTGAAATAATGAGACCTATTTCATAAAAAAACATTTTGTACATATGGTGTACATAATCTTACTTAGGATAATTAGACAATTAGTCTGTGTTGTCGAGGTGATCCATCACAGCAAACATTTAATAAAAAAAAAATCTATTTTTGTAAGTAGTTTTAAAAATCAATTTATGATAATGCATAAATAGTGCTACTAGTGGTTTACATAATATTATTGTTTTAATTACTTATTTCATGGTTACTGAAGTTTTTTATGGGAGGTAACTCCCATGATGCATTTACTTGTCACATGACCGCTTGGCAGTACAAGACATTGTAATTAATTAGCGTTGAGCCAAATGTTAGCATTTTAGCAGATTAAGGTCAATTATTCAAGAATACATAGAACTGTATGTCTATAATAAATGAAGATACTAAGACAGTTTTCATAAACTATTGATCTTGGCCGTTAAAATACTCTGTTTACTGTTACAATACATTGAAATGACATTGACGTCGTCGTGTGACAAGATGACATGACTGAGAAATAGTCAACCATCGTGACTAAACAATTAATAAGCGTTTGCAAAGCAGACTTTACATGGTTATGTGTAATATTGTTCCACCCTTTTATCCACTTGAATTGCTTTGAGTTAAAAGCAGGGCATGGTGCCGAGTGAAGGACTCATAGATTTAATAATGAACTTTATTGTTACTATTTGATAATAAAAAAAAAAATGTCCATACATCTTCAATTGAATTAACTACATGTATATGAATATGCTAAAACATTGAGATATTTGACAAGTTAGATTTATCTACTATTGAACTCCTAAACTTAAGGTGAAAATCATATATCAGTGTATCAAGAAATGCTGTTAGCATCTACCATTGTCTGTAGATGTAAATTACAATGATACATGACTTGGGAGAATGATATATGCAAGCCTGAGTACTACTGTTAGATTAATATCTATTAGATCATACCTTATTTACCAACATGCTACATTTAAAAATAAATTGTTTATTTGATCATACTAATGTTAAAGGAGCCTTCCCAGTGAATCAAACAGGTTAATTGTGTGAGAAAGGCTCTGTGTTACCTATTGGCAGAAATACAAACTTTCCACATGTGGTTTGGGAAAAGGTCCCTGAATTCCACAATGTCCACTGTCTCCAAGTGCCTGGATAATTATTTCTACATACTGGTACTTGGCTATGGTAGTATCAATTCACTCATAGAGTTTGATAATGAAACTCCTTAAATAAGTGATGTAATCATGATTAGCCCCATACTGCTCCATATTTTGAGTTGAAATTTTTAGACAAAGGTGTTTGGTTGAATTGTTTACCTACAACCACTTTTATCATCAACATCTATGTGTAAAATCTGGGACTGCCCCTTTAAAACAAATGTGATTAATATGAAAAGAAATGGTGTGATATATTCAATGTTAAACAGTGCTATTAAATTATAATGATGTGATAGTTAGATTTATTTACAGGAACAGGAAGCCAAATGAAAGATTTGTTTGATTATTAGTATTTTAATATTACTTCAAAAAAACTAGTTAGATTTATCATGTATGCATAATTATACAGATCTTTCCTTGGGGATACAAGATACTATTATTTGTGGAACAGAATTAGGATTGTTGACGCTTTAAAACCAAAATGAACAAGAGTTGTTTCCCTTTAATACTGTTCTTGTAGGGGTTCTAATCTAGTCTAGAAGTATAAATGTTCATTGTATCATCCTGAATATAGTAATATGATTTGGTATTTATAGAAAGTATGTTTGAATGTGTATCTACACCTAAATTCTTGATATTCCTAAAGCAAAGTTTACTAACATAATTAGCCTTTTGGATGAATCGCCAAATAATGCTCTTTACCATTGCTTTGAGATATATGGTATTCTAAAGTTCCTGTTAATTAGAAAAAATACTATGAGATAAATGATATTGCACACAAATTTAATACTCTCTGTCATTACATTAAATGCAGAAAACATGTATTGATGTATTCAGAATTAAAATTTTAAAATGAAATTTATTTAGGTCTATGAAAAAAGAAATATGCATATTTTGTAAATAATTTAGAATTAAGGTGTTTCATCCAATATTTATTTTGTATGGGCATTATTATAGATAATATCCACATTATTAGATACATTTTCATTGTAAATATGTCATTCATTAAACTGATTCGAGGGTGGTATATATAATTGGGTGAAATAAGAAAGATGAATTTAAATCGTGAACTTGTCAAATTTGTAATAAAACATGCATAAATGTAAAATTATTCATATCAGAATTTCTTCTTTTTTCTCTTCAAAATTGACAAATTAGATTATGTAATAAAATGATTTGGTAATAATATATCTAATGATTTCAAGGATTATATTCAAAAGAATGTGGTGTAAATAAATTTTTCTAATACATCTTGATGTCTGTTATATGTTTTTATAGAGAGGGAGTAAATAAAATGAAATTGAACGTCCTACTTTTCTGCACCAACTGGGCTAATGAAGACAAGGCATATGCCATACAGTGTGCTGTGACGGAAATTTGGCCCGGAGAACGGTGCTACGCCTACTCTTATTTTGAATGCCAACTGTCAAGTGTTTTTCTACGTGCGGGAGATCACGTGGCTTAGTGGGTAAGACGCTGGCTCGCTAGCCTGGAGGTCGAGTGTTCGATCCCTGCATTGGCCGAGAAAGTTCATCCAGATTTTCCGGTGTGGTTCCCCCTTGTCAGTGATGCAGGATGGAGGGCTTGACAAGGAAAGCTGTCTAGTCCTTCGGATGAGACGAAAAACCCAGGTCCCATGTATACATTGGAATGCACGTAAAAGATCCCTTGGCAGTTGGAATTCGATATAAGAGTAGGCGATAGTGCGGTTGCCCGGGCAAAATTTCCCTCATAGCACTCTGTATGGCGTATGCCCGTCTTCATTAGCCCAGCATAGGAGCAGAACAGTAGGACGTTAAACCCCATTTCATTTTATTTCATTTCTTCTACGTGCATACCAATATATACATGGGGCCTCTGTATTCTGACTCATCCCAACGACTATACACTATCCTTGCCAGGTCCTCCGTCCTGCACCACTGACCAGGGGAACCTGCGCCGGAAAATCCTGAGGAACTTTTTCAGCCATCACTGGGATCCAACCCGAGAACTCCTGGTTATTCTATATGAGGAGTCATAACCAATTTGGTGTTCCAAGGTAAACATAATAAGCCAAAAATGAGGAATCAGGCTTAATCTAACGAAATAAACATTCAATAGAGCTGGTACCAATACTAATGGAAATAATACATCAGATCATTCTAATTCAACCCAATTGATTTGGTCCGCAACCTAAAATTTAGGGACAGAATAACAAGGTAACAATCATAAATGTAATACAGGGTTAAATGATAGAAGGTTTAGCACATCAATATGAACAAACTAAAAATATGGCTAAAGAACGCACAGATTGGGGGGGGGGGGGAGGGTGTCGCACAGATGGGCTGTGGCCCGTAGAAAAATGGGGATGCCTGGTCTAAATAAAAGAGTTTTAGCTAAAAGAAGCATCATCACCATCTCCAAGATCAGAAATCTTATCAATGTTCAATATTATCATATGCACGAAAATGCCATGTTCAGACAGTGTCGTTAAACGGTGCATAATCATAGTTCATGTAGACCCGCCCACATAAATATTTTCCCCTGGAGCTCCATTTTGGCTCGCTGCCTGGGTTAGAAGCAAGGTTTTCGAAAGGTGGGGGACAATTAACAAAAATATATGGGAGTGAAAGTTCACCGTGTTTGGCGGAATATTACCCGGTTGGGGCTGACATGTCATAATACTCCATTTCATTCAAATGGTTAAAGGGACACAACTCTATTTTAGGTACATTTAATTGCGCATTTGGTAAACTGGAAATACATTCTTACTCTGAAAATAAAGGGTGCTATCTTTATGGCGCAAAACAAACTTGTATAACTCCGCAAGCGGGTTATTTTCCCTATAGTATGGAAAGACCACGCGGAATTCAGTGCAAACTAAAGAATATTAAAATGGTAACTACCGGTGGCCCGCTACTGAAGTTAGCTTTACATTAGTCTTCAACAATTAGATTTTCGAACTTAAAGGAGCTAAATCTCGATTTTTTTGTTAGCCTAAAATGGGTCATAGCACATATAAATGTAATATGAGTGTATATAGACTGATTTACATTCTTTTTTCTTTTTTTGTTATCGTAATTTCTAATTAGCTTTGTTTGCCGAAATAAGCGAGCAGCCCAAATTGAATAGCAGGGTTAGTCTAGTCTACATCAGAAGTACGATTTGACATTTCACTTACGCACTGACGTTTTGCCTCATTTATCAAGGCGCCTTATTACAAATTGCACTCGAGAGCATAGCGTATACGCCGGTGTGTTCTGGTTTTAAAATTGTTCACTGTGTCTACAATATTGGATATCAGACGCCCATATTTTCTCGGTAAGAGAACAAAATAACTACTGATTGGAATGGACCAATAATTCATGTTTGTAGTGTCGAAGACTCTGGATACCATTGAGTTAGAGCGCAACGCTCTTGAACTGGCTATCAGCAAGATCCCCTAATTATTATCAACGAAAATTATGACCCCCCCCCCCCCTTCCATGACCTAGCAATTTTATAAGCTGAGCTCAATAGAGTATTTAAATAAATGAAATGAAATGGGGTTTAACGTCCTACTGTTCTGCTACTACTGGGCTAATGAAGACGGGCATACGCCATACAGTGTGCTATGAGGGGAAATTTTGCCCAGGCAGCGCCAATACCACCTATCTTGCATGAGATGGACAGAAAACAGGCTAAAAAGCGATCTTTCGTACAATCAGGAGAGGTAATCCAGGAAATTATAGTCCGATATGCGCGAAAATTAAAATGGATCGAAATCTCTGGGATATAAACATATACTTTAAGTTTCATCAAAATCAGATAACAATTCTGAGCTCTAGACGGTCCACAATCTTAGTATTACATACTTTTTAAAATCGGATAAAAATTGTGACCTCTAGAGGGCCCAGAATCGAGATCTTTGAGATATAAATATATATTCTAAGTTTCATCGAAATCGGACCTTTAGCGGGCCCACAACCTTACGTATTACATAGCGGGTCAACAACCTTACGTATTACATACTTTTACTCTATTTGCGATCAAGGAGCGGCCATTTTGTAGGGCACTTTCGATCCGATTTTTACGAGATTCGAACTTAATCATCATCAAGGTGTAACGGTGATATATTTAAACGAGTTTTAAAATCGGTTAAAAATTGTGACCTATAGAGGGTCCACAAGCTAAAATCGCGATTTTTTCGAACAATCAGGGGCCATAATCCAGGAACTTACGGTCCGATATGCGCGATCTTTGGGACATTAACACATGTTTTAAGTTTCATCAAAATCGTACCATATTTGTGACTAGGGGTCCACAACCTTGATATTACATACTTTAACACTATTTGCGTACATATAGCTACCATTTTGTCCGGCAGTTTCGGTCCAATTTTCACGAAATTCGAACTCAATCATCATTATGGTGTAACAGTGATATATTTGACGATTTTTAAATCAGATAAAAATTGTTCGCGATTTTTCGTACAATCAGGAGCAATAAACTAGGAAGTTACGGTCCGATGTGCGCGAATATCGAAAGGAACCGGGATCTTTGGGTTATAAACATACATTTCGAGTTTCATCTAAATCGGATAATAATTGTGACCTCTAGAATGTCCACAAGCTAAAAGGGTGAATTTTCGTACAATTAGGGGCCATAATCCATGATGTGTCGATCCGATACATGCCAATATCGAAAGGAACCGAGATCTTTTTCAAGTTTCGTCAGATTGTGGGCGGACGCACAGGTGCGACGACAATATAAATCCACATGAAAATGTGGGCGTATAAAATTTTTTTGCGGGTAGGAGCTTCAATATACAGGTAGTAGTCCGGGCATTTTAACTCGTTTCGACTTGGGGATGTAATTTTCAGTGTCATTTAAGAATTGTGTGCTTCCTTGGTACAAAACGGGTTTTTATCAGCGACTACCGAACCGATTCACTTCATATGAAATTCATTTGAAATCGAGCTATTTTAGTAGCGAAGTAAACAAGTAAAGCGACAATGTAATCTGATCACAACACAGATCCTATTTCGTTTCGTTTGTTTTTTATAGTTCAAAATTTCGTTTTACTAGGGTCTCGAAGACTTGTTATGTAACCCGCGTTCTAGTTGATGTGAGGGGTAAGCCAAGGAAACGATTTTTTGCAGCGAGTTCTTGGCGTGCGATGTACCGAACTGTGGGTATCCTACTAGAAATATCAACGCTGATCGGTTAATCAAATGTCTTGACGTCATAGGGTCAAAATCCGCTCGTGTGACCGACCCCTGACGCGACCTCGCACCACAACTGGTCAGATCTGCATGTAGTAGAGGCCATCGAATGTATGAAAAAAACGAAACGAAATACAGATCTGCATTTTAATCAGATTGTCGACAATGACAATATTTTTTCCCTTTAAGACAGAAACCGCCCCCAGACATTTCTAATTTGACAAGCTCACTGTGTCTGTGGAATGCATATTGGTCTTTTTAGACATTGTTTGCATATTGTTTACCGGGAATTATTCGACTCCAAGCTGTTAAGAAAATTTTAAACTCTTGATATCCATTGTGTGACATGACAATAAATATTATATATATATTCTCATCCCTGTGCCCGTGGCATTACTTACATCACTATACATGTATATTGATATATTGAAAAGTGTGATATTTTCTATTGTTAGTGAAGTGTTCATGGCGAACAGGGTCGAAATAAGCTTGAATGGTGCACCTGGCTGAAAATGACACCAGGGCTTTTGCATCAACAGTAAAAAGGGGACATATTCTGGTCACTCACAAAATTATTTTATGCAAATTGTATGTCAGTCAGCATGGTAGATATATATATATATATTTATTTGGAGAACACATATAGTATACAACACAATAACTGACACATATATTTATAGTACAAATTCTTTTTTGGGACTAATTTGGAGGCCCCTGGCTGCAGCCCGGTCAGCCCATGCCTTTTTACCCGGCACTTATGACGTGCCTGGTATCTAGAACAACCCCGGTAACACGGGCCTGCTATCAAACTCTGTCATATAGACCAGCAACCAGACAAACGTAGTCAACTGCAAACACGAATATTCAATTGCGAATATCTAACTAACTTCGGTGGGATAGCAGATCGGAAGCCAGTTGATCGTGCAGTTTGAAATCTCCATTGTTTACATTAGTGCATGAATTCGATTTAATAGTCTTGTGACAACTCCCTTATTTATTTTTGTTGACATTTATTCATAGAGAATTTGTATCATTTTGAGAAAGTGCAGGTATGAAATCGGAATACATTGGGGACGGGAGAAACAGAACAGAAGGAAGACAATATTTACAAAGGCGTCGCTTGACAAAACCTGTACATTACAAAAATGGGGACTTCGATTCAGACTTGGCTCTTGCCATGCAAGAAAGTCTTAAGCTCGCCAGACAGAAAGAAACTGAACTAAGTCTTAAGGATATTGAAAATCGTGTTTTGCCTAATGGCACCGTTCTAGATGTTATTCCTGCCACGAAAATGGCGGATAAAATCAACAACAGCGGAGACGCTGGGAACCAAGAATGTAAAGATTTGAAAAATCTTCTTCTGCTTCACGTCGAATTAATCCAACATCAAGGCGACTTGTTGGCCAAAAAAGATAAAGAAGTCAAAGATTTAAAAACCGAGAAGCAGGCGGTAAGCTTTTATAACACTGACGAAAAACTTTTAATCTATTATTTCAATTTTGTTTCTTCGTCCCACCCATTAATTTTTTGAATATTATTGTTATTGTGCGCGAGTTCAAAATGGCGGACACCGGTTGTCTGCTACAAAAGATTTTAGTCAGATTATAATGCAAAAGAAGTATCTTGATAAAATGCGCTGTCGGTATATTTCATTGTTTATTTTTTTTAGAAACAGGTAGGTAAGGGATAGAAGATTATGCCCTTTACATGTTGACTGTGACATCGGAAGGATCGCCTACTTTCACTCAGAATGATAGGAAGAAATGCCCCATTTTTAAGGAGGGAACACTTTTTTATTTTGGATATTATTCTAACTCGTACTGAGTCGTACGGCGTGCCGTTCTTGTTCATATTTCTACTGTTGATTTAACTTTCCTGGTATTGACAGTCCCTTTTTTAGGCTGCGGGTAGACTATAATAATCACCGGAATTCACCGGAAATCAGTTATAAACACCGGAATTCACCTACAGCTGGTGGGGGCTAGGCAGCAGAAGGCCAATGCAAGCTGTCAGAAGTAGGACTAGAAATAGAATAATGAAAACGCCCCCGCATTCCAAAGCGCGTTAATTCAGAATGCAGGTGCGCGTTTGACGTAATCGCATTATCGAATCCTTATTGAAGCGTTAGGTAAAAGGCTTACACTTTACACTTTACAGATACCGCGGCGCGAGTTGCCTATATTTTCTGACCGGTGCGCTGCATCTCGCCGACTTCAACTTCAAGGGTCAAATTATGAAGGAAAATAAAGCCAAGGTCATCATGGTCATCAGTCAAGGACAGTGTAGTTACCGGCAGATTAATTGAAGTTCCGGTATCTAGTTATTTTACGTTCGTGATTCGTATGTTTTCCAAAATATTCTAATTAAAAAACAGACTATTGATTGCGAGCATCCAACGCTGAAGTGTTTTGGTCGGTAAATACTAATATTTATGACGGATATAAGATCACATGACCGATCATGTGACACTGGGATATGTGCAGACTGGCCTTTGTGTACAAACACGCGTCATGGCCGAAATGAAATGGGCTAATAACGTTGTTTGACTCGTGTTTGAAAGCAACCTGGGTTGAGTACGCTTTTCGTGTATGTGTGTGCGTGTGAATAAATGGGGGAACATTTGCGTAAACTATGATGAAATTTATAGGTCACTTATTTCATCCATCAAGGTGGAATATGGGAAGTAAAAATGTCGATAAGGTGAGAATTTTTGCTTGATCATCGACATTTCGTGCGACTCTATTATCCCCTAAATGGTTTATGGTTTAACTGCATGGATGTCTAGTAGGACGCCGCAGTAGTTGGCTTATTTATTTGAAGGCACGGAGCCGTCTGATAGAGAACTATGTTTTCGTTTTATGCGAATTTTAGTTCGTCTGCAGTCTGGCTGAGGCAAAGATATTGGTTTTATTTGTTGGGAGATATGTACAGTGAATACAAATAGTCAATAGACTAACACAATATTTCCGCACAGAGGGGTGTCTAGACTTTATTTAATTATTTCTAGTTGACACTGGTTAAAAGTGGTTTGAGTATTACTGTCTGAACTGTCCTAATCGATTTCTTCGATTATGAATAAATTACTTAATTACGGTTATTATAAACTTGCCCGTATGTTTGAAATTACCTCCGGTTAAATAAAATCCATTGTACAATTAAATGATTTTTGACAGAGTTCATCAAAACATTTCACAAGTCAAATGATGAACGAAACCATCGTATGATGTTGAAGGTTGACAAATTTTAACGATCATGTGTTTTGCCATCAAAACAAAGCGCGATCCTTTCGATTGTTTTAGCAACGAAAATGTTAACTCAGGGCAATTACACTGGTGATTAATTTTGAAACAATTGATTGTCAGTCAACTAAATTTTATTCACATAATTAAGTAGTTTGTTCATAATCAAAGAAATCTGTTTAAAATTTACGACAGTTCAGACAGTAGATATCACATCCTGTTCTATTTGATGTCTCATAAAATTTATAATAATCACATAAAATATTACATGAGGTGGTTAATAAATTTAAAATTTGGGAGCCACGTGGCTAAGCAAGTAAGACGCTGGTTCGCTAGCCTAGAGGTTGCAGGTTCAATCTTGGTGTTGGTAGAGAAAGTTCATCTGGATTTTCCGGCGTGGTTTCCCCTTGTCAGTGGTGCAGGATGGAGGGCCAGACAAGGACAGCTGTCTAGTCATTCGGATGGGATGGAAAACTGAGGTCTTGTGTACACATTGGCTTGCCTGTAAATGATCCCTTGGTGGTTGGAATTCTATATAAGAGTACGTCGCAGTGCTGGTGTCTGGGTAAAATTTCCCTCATAGCACACTGTATGGCGTATGCCTGTCTTCTTTAGCCCAGTCGGAGCAAAACAGTAGGGCGTTAAACCCCATTTCATTTCGTATTTTAAAGTTTAATTCCCTTGCAAATAATTTGGAGGAGAACTGCCAAAATATAATGTTTATTGTATCTGGCTATGTATTCTCCACTGTTTGCTTCTTGAATCAGATTTTTAACATATGGGGTGTCTGTTGCCGTTAGGCGCTTGCTTTCTCGTCTTTTCTTTATAGACAGCTTGTTTGTCACCAAAATTAACTGTTCATGATCGCAACTTGACGAAGCTAGCTGGAAACCACAGGGTAGTTTTAGACATATTTTAACTAGTTCCATATTATCATCACTGTAAAAATACTCTCAATTAGGATTCCAACATTAAAGGTGACTTCTTTTCATTTCTTCTGTTTCAAATAAATTGCATATACAGCCAAAACTCTGTATCCTGGACCCATTCATTACTATCTGGGTCAAATATGGTTGCATATAGATAAATTCTGCCAGGGCCACACTGTCCACATATTTTGGCCTTCTGGAGTTAGGGTCATTGTGACATCTACAGATCAAATTGTTTTTAGGGAGGACAACAACACTCATGACATGTCACTAGATTAATGCACTGTGTAGGTAATAAGTAATAATAGTGCACTTTTAATGCACTAAATTCCATACACTTAGCATTTGCTCATAGCGCTACAAAAAGTCTAATGACATTATGGTTTATATCTTATAGTATTCTTTAAACAGGTATGGTTTTAATAAACTCTTGAATTGCAATAAGGTTGGTGCATCTTTAACATCTGATGGTAGTTTATAACTATAAGGTCAGGTTATAAATACTATACTCACATATCACTTGAATTAAATACATCATTGAGCTAATTTAAGCCTGTGTTTATAAGCTTGTATTGTCATAACAACCATTTGAGTGATGTTTATTAACTAGGCCTCAGCAATGTTGACCAACCTGACTCTATATAGCTGTTGTTGTTGACTAATCAGTGTTATATCATAGTAGTGGTGTTAAATGCTGTCACGTAATTAATTATTTACGTAACTGGATTACTAATAGATATGTCTAAATGGCTTCTTTATTTAAGGATTTATATTTTTAAACCCCTTTTCAAACTTAATATGTCTAAGGAGCACACTTGTTTTGAGCATCGTTGAAAAGTCGATGACAACTTGTTCATAAGTAGGAAAGCTAATAATTTGTAAAGAAATGACATAAGATGTGACAGTAAATGGTTGAACTTTCAAAAATTAAATTTTACAGTTGTTTGGTCAACTGTCCGTGTATATTGACTTAACTTCAGTTTTGACAATATGGCTAGAGTTTAACACAACACAATTTTTGTAGGAAACAATCACTGGTTTTATTCTAAAAGCAAAACGCTTCAACAAGTAATTGATAAGAGGATAATTGTCGAAACGTTGTGTTTTTAGGATACTTGTTGAAACTTGCTTTTAGAATATAACCAGTGATTGGTTCCCATAAAAATTGAATTCTGTTAATGTGTTTCCCAATTGCTAAATGCCACTCAAAGATTAAGGCTAGAGTTTGTCATGAAAAATGTTGGATTTGAAATGGTCTGTTAAAATGTTATAAAAGTTTCAGTATATATTCTCATCAATGAACACATATTTTGGTCTTCTCTTGGTATAGATAGTCTGAGATAAGTTATAATAGTACCTGTAGAATAATGTATGTGACATTATAGGTAATGTGAGTGGTAAACAGCTTCTGGTATCTACATGTACTCTGATTCCTTGACTGTGATGCCCCAGTTTGTCATACAATGGCATGAAACATATTTTTGAAATATTTAGATTATAATTCTGTTGGTTGGATAGATTAAAATTCCTGATGTCCAACAAAAACTAAAAAATCAGTAGTTAATGTTCAAACGTTACATATTCTTTTTGATTTTTCCGTCTTAGCAGTTGGAATTTGATAAAGAGTAGACGGAACGTCACTGTCTAGGCAAAACTTCCTTCATATGCTTGTCTTCGTTAGTCTGGTTTGTGCTGAAATGTAGATGTTAACTATTTTATATTTTATTTGATTTTCAGCTCATGTATGTGAAAATACTTGAATATTTTATTTGTGATAGAATATGTTTTATACATGTAATTTATATTTGACCCTGACGCACAGAATTATGAGAACACAGTATTAGTTATTGTAGTATCGCATATTACTATTTTGGGGGTGTGGATGGCCGAATGGTTAGCTCGTGCGCACTGTAACATAAGGTCTCTCATTGAGTCAACTGGTGTGGTTTCGAATCCCTGGTTGTACGTGATAAGGAATAGGGTCGCCTGTCCAACCTCGTGGGTTTTCTCCGGGTCCTCCGGTCACCCCCCCCCCCCACTGCTAAAGATCCCTACGCACAAGCGAATTATTGAAATAAAATTGAACCATTACGTTAGTCTCAAAATGACCTAGTTTGTGGTGAGTGGACGTTAAACCCCATTTCTCTCTCTCTCTATTACCATTTTGAAAATTAAGCACATGTTTTATGAGATACTGTCAGACCATTCTGATTGAGTCCGTGTTAATATATATTCAATGTTCATGTTTATAGCTAGAATGTCGGTTAGAACGAATGGAACGAAGAATGTCTCTACTCAAACAGAAAGAAGAGTTCCAGGAAGCATCTGTTGCCAAGGAAACTCACGATGTCACTCCCACTAAATCTGTTGATAAAGCTCTCAAAAGGTAAAAAATAAACCCTTTTTATAGGCTCATGTCAAGCGTCTGAAATCATAATTGCTTGTGGAAGCTCTAGCGGATAAAGTTATCATCCGATTGACTTTAAATTAGAAGAAGAAGCAGCTTATTGATTTTGAATGATTTCAGAAAATTACTGTTATGGTCGTTGATCACTTTGAAAATTCCTAGAGTCTTAAATTAATTCTCTGCTTCATTTTAAATTAATATACGTTGTTTATTATGATAATAAGATGAAGAATCCTATTGATTTTCAAGAATTTCCATTAATTACTGCTAGAGTTATTGCCCTAGATAAATTTGAACAATCTTGTAAATATGCTCAGAATAATCAATTTATTTATCAAGTGCCTTTCAAATGAAAAAAAACCCTAGAAATACTTACAGAGTTATTTCTCACTTCACTGGATTATTTAGAAACCAAATAGTTTCTGTTCCCAATTTTGATTAAAATTGGAGTTACCTCCCATTATATTTAACATTAATTTAAATTGTAAGTTTTCGTGTATCATACTGATAAAATTGAAGCGACTATAGGATTTCTCTGTCGTTGTATTTCTTTTATTTAATTTTAAAGTTTGATAGGCCTACACTGCTGTAAATAACAGAGTAACAAATCAAGTTTGCATTTAGTGAGATTCCACTAATTTTTTTACTGAATTATGACCTGATATTGACTTAAAATTTTATTTTCCAAAGTCTTTTTAGGTTAAACTTTGAGTATTCAATTTGAATTTATGACACCATACTACATAGCAGGCTAATTCAGTTGTACAGTTTTATTCCATCTATATAGGTACTTGGATTGTATATTAACAGAAATGTATTTACTATTTACAATATCAGCCCAGTCGGTGCAGGAAAGTAGGATATTAAACCCCATTTAATTTCATTTCCTTTCTTTTACTATGACAGTTTTAATGAATTAGTAAAATCATTTTTGCAGAAAATCCACATCTTGTCTTGGCTCTCCCACACCAAGTAAACATCCAGCACGACGAATGACGAAAACACCCAGTATACCATCCAGAGCTAAAACAGATAAACCCAAAAAACACAACTATACAAGTCATGTTGCTATGGAAACAGAGAACACTGATACACCAGTTAGTAAATACAAACAGTTACATAACCAACTGATTGAAGACGATAATTCTTTCTTAAATACAGACACTATATATCATGTAGTGGAGTCTCAACTTCGCTCTCGTAATGTGGAGATTCTTGATGCTTCTAAAATCCAATCCGGTGTCCAGTCCCAGAGAGAGAGTAAGTAGTATTTATTGCATTATAAGTTGATTATAAGTCTGGAGGTCGCGGGTTCGATCCCGGTTTTGGCCGATAGGGTTAATCGTGATTTTCCGATGTGATTTCCCCTTGTCAGTGGTGCAGGACGGAGGACCTGACAAGGACAGTTGTCTAGTCATTCGGGTGGGAAAAAACTGTGGTCCCATGTACACATTGGCGTTGTGCACATGTGCACATAAAAGATCTCTTGGCAGTTGGAATTCAATATTAGAGTATGGCGAATATGCCCATCTTCATTAGCTCAGTCGGAACAGAACAGTAGGAAGGTAACCCTCTTTTCATTTCATTTCATTTTATTATTATTAACCCATTTCTTCAAATATAATATGAAGACCATGAGTGTTAAATATGTTTTAATTATCTCATCAATTTTTCTTTTTGTCCAGTTGAAGTACCTAACTGGAGAATAATAAAATATACCAACTTATGGCAAATGGAAGGAACAGAGGTAAATATTAATTCAGTACAGATATATATAAATTTGTTCGTTCCTAGAGGGGTTGGATGGCTGAATGGTTAGCACGAGCGCGCTGTATCATATGGTCTGTCATTGAGTCAACTGGCTCCGGTTTCCTGTCACTGCTAAAGACCCCTACGCGCAAGCGAATGATTGAAATAAAATTGAACCATGTGTTAGTCCCGAAATGACCTAGTTTGTGTCGAGTGGATGTTAAACCCCATTTCTCTCTCTCTCTCTCTCTTGTTTATAGGTACAAACAGTTTACTTCATACATCAGGCTAAGTCAGATAGTTAGGAATCCATTGTCTTTTCTGACGTACTATAGAGTTGAGTATTAATGATCACAAAACCTTCAAGAAAAGTTAATACACATGTAGACATAAACTAAAAGATTATACAACAGTAACAAGTAAATAAATATATATTGCTTCCTTGCTTCAACGTCCGTTATAAGTGGGGTGTCCTAACGATCATAATATCTGTTCTGAAAAGACCTAGTTTCCCAACATCAGTGGAAGAGTCATCTTAAGATAAAACTATAGTTATAATAATTGAAAATTATAACATTATAATTAATCTGTGTATTTTCAGAATCTTGAAGATGATACAATTATTAAAAGACATCAGAAACCTGAATTAGAAGAAAAACGTAGAAAGAGGTAAATATGTTACTTAGTCGATAATATATCATTTATAACTATACACAGCCAGTAATAAGTGATATATCATTTATAACCATATACAGTGTATTACACATTTATAACCAGACACAGCCAGTAATATATCATTTATAACCATATACAGTGTATTACACATTTATAACCATACACATCCAGTAATATATCATTTATAACCATATACAGTGTATTACACATTTATAACCATACACATCCAGTAATATATCATTTATAACCATACACAGTGTATTACACATTTATAACCCATACACAACCAGTAATATATCATTTATAACCATACACAGTGTATTACACAGTTAAATATAACCATACACAGCCAGTAATATATCATTTATAACCATACACAGTTATAACCATACACAGTTATAACCATAAACAGCCAGTAATATATCATTTATAACCATACACAGTTATATTATTTATAACCATTCACAGTTGTACTCATATACAGCCAGTATGTAGAATTAAACCGTTGTGGTCTTTAGTAACATCATTTCTATTTAAATCATCAGATTAATAAGTACAGGTGTATTATTATAAGTCAAGTTATAAGTTTATTATTAGTGGAATTTGTGTATATTTTAGATGGGATATGCAGAGAATGAGAGAACAGAAAGCAGCGATGAAATTACGTGTTCGAGAGAATTCATCTTCTACAGATCATAATATAGAACCATCACAAGATATTGATACATTTTTACCTATATTAGATGACAGTTAGTATAGCTTTCTACTCAAATTAAATAATTTTCATTCACAAATTATGCATAATGATTATATAAGATTAGTCATTTGTAAAGATCATTTAGTACAGTTCAATGTTTCCGTTTGTCTTGGGTGTATATGATATAGACATGTGGTTTTATGTTCTATGAGATCTGATTGAGAAATGAAATAAATTGGGGTTTAACAGGACTGATTGAGAAAGTAAGTTCATATTATAATAGCACTGTCATATAGTATGATATAGACAGTGAAACTCTTATACACAAATAAAGACAAAACAATAATGAACATAAGAAAATTTGATTTTATATAATCTACTTAGTACAAATAAGGAAGAATATATGTTTTATATTTTACAGTAACACATATAGAAGTTAGAGATAAACTACCTGTTATAGCATTTGGTCATCCCTTACCTGGTCTTACTCAACAGTAAGTAATTTATACATGACAACTTTTATCTTTCAAAATATTACACACAGTAATTTATACTTATATTACACTGTGGTCATGACAGCTTTTGGGATATTACACATAGTAATTTATACTTATATTACACTGTGGTCATGACAGCTTTTGGGATATTACAACATAGTAATTTATACTTATATTACACTGTGGTCATGACAGCTTTTGGGATATTACACATAGTAATTTGATTTATATTTGTAAGAACTGAATTATAGAAAGTACAAAGGTATAGTTTGAATTGATAGCTGTGTAATATTCTCATATAACTGAAAATTGCTTGCCTTAACCATGACTACTTATTTGATATCTGTTTATTTCTTGCAATGTCTGTGTAGTTTATCTTGTCCTGTTGGTTTAGTTTTGTGTGTTGTGCAGTCCTACTGTACTTACTTAATAGTTAAGTTACCAACTCTACCCAGAACAGGGAAGAAATGATTGGTGATTGTGCACAAGGAACATTATCCCAAGGTGGGGATCACAATAATCCAATATTTGTATCGTTTGGGGCAAGGCTGGCAACTGTTTGGGCAGTGTGGAACATGCTAGAGTTGATTTGTGTCATTATCTGAGACATGGTAGTATACAGTATGGTTGGCACTGGTTGAACAATATAATTATAAAGGAACGAAGATCACAATCCGAACAAAATTTGGGAAAACAAACAAAAACATTCTTGGATAGTACATTTACTTGCTTTATAGCGAATTTAATTTTAAATATTATGTTTTTTCAATATTTTTCAGAGATTTTGATTTACCATGGGAATGTGATAAAACTCTGGTAAATAAACGTCATACGGCATCAAGATCTCGTAGAAAGTGATATAAGTGATCTGTACTATATTAAACTGTTATTTATCTTATTATTTATCATATATACTCATCAACATTGTTCCTCATTCATCACACGCATAATCACAAGTAGTCATTACTTACCACAATTCATCATCATAAGGCATTTAGTGAACACACCAAATCTCTTTCAGAGTGTATGGTATGAATAGTTGACAAAATATGACAATAAATGTACATAAATATTACATATTTTGACAGGTGAGACAATCCATACAACTATTATCTGAAGTGGTTAGGTGTGTTCGAAATAATGCCTCGTGTTTAAAGATTTTACATGATCATAGGTTCATTAAAATTTAAAATGTCTAGACCTCTGTAATTTGAGTCAAAAATAAAATTGTTCATTTCTTTGGATATAATGTATTAAATTGGTATGAAATATAACCGATGTTCTGTTCCACTGTTGACAAAGTAGGACAAAAAATTAACTAAAATTAGCAAACAAGCAGACTATTAATGAATCTTTTGAACACAAAATGTAATCGAATACAACTTACCCCATCACTAATAAAATAACAGATCAGATTAACCCAATATAATACTTTACCGTGACCCAAATCCAAGACATTTAGTTTCTTTATAATGGCGACTATCATAAGATAGTGATTTATTTATAGTTTTGTTGAGTGATAAAATTTTTAGTTTATATCTAGTATTAAATTTATAGAAATATATTTAGCAATATTTAGTTTCAATTACTCATCTTCACGTTGGACTAATGGGACCATACAATGTAAGTTCGGCATAATGAATAAATACATGGCTAGATCAATGATCTGGAACAACTTTAACAATTACTCAAGGTCGACCAATAACTAAAATAGAATATCTTTAAAAAAATTTTTTTACTTTGTTGATATAAAATATATTTTTCGATGAGCACTAACAAGAAATGACTTAAATTTGAGTAAATGGTTTGTTGCCCCCTAGTTTTCTCAAATTTTTCTGCTATTGTGTTAGGTCATAAGACAGCTGAATAAACTAAACTAACAGTGTTATTTGTTGTGACCGGTAGTAGTTACAATAATACACGTAACCTTATCTCATGTTCCATGATTATAGAGTATTAGTTATTAAATATTGAAAATATCACTCCAAATTATCAGTTTCATGTGTATAAGGATTAAAAAATATTGTAAATGTAGGTCCTTATTTTAATAATTCATTAAAACAATGTCCAAAAAACAATCAAATATTTTTATAATATCATTTTTGTAGTGGTTCCAAAATTTTAAAATTCTTTTTCATCAGAAACCAGACCATAATGAAGGTTCAGTTCATTTATAATACTATTTTGTATATATCAGATAGATTGTGTAAAATAAATATAAAATGTTTCAGTTCTGATATATTGGTGTTGACACTGTTGAGTAGTATGATTTAGATGTCAACTTTTTTCACTTTATGTTAAAGGGGCATTATAACTTTGAACTTTGGTGATCTTTGTGGGTTGTTAAAAAAAATAAAATTGATTTGACGTGTAGTCACTACACCGTTATATTGTCATATGGGTTATATGGTCATATGGTCGGAGTTCAAATTAGATTTCTTTCAAATTTGAAGATTAATCTGCCTGTTTATCCGAGAGATGAAGATGTTTGAAGATTTTGTATGCATTAATAGCCTATGGATACTTGTGAATAATGATTTAATCCATATAGACTAGTTTTTGAATTGCCAATAATTAGAGTTATTTAAAATATATTAAAAATATTTATTCTCTTGTTGAAAGTTCTAATGCCTCTTTAAATATGAATTCTTTCAGTTATGTTAAATTTGTATATAAGTAGCTTATTAAATAATGCTCATATAGACTAATGACTGTATGCTGGATGTATTACAATAATGATTATTTGTATGTTTTGAAGTTGGATTTTGACTGAAAAATGTTTTATTTTCAAACTTAATTTTAAACTGTACAGCATTCTAATCTTCATACACAATCTTCTGGTACAATTGGTGAAACATTACATACCTACAATGGTTTCTGACACTTCAACAATTGTACATGGGAACGGCCATTGTATGATGGTTAAAATGTTTTGCATTTTCAAATTACAGAAGTTTGAACTCTATATGTTAAACATATTTTAGTGCTTATAAAGATGTTGATCATTGTCAACTACTTGCCCTCTTTTTACAAATCACGTTGCGTTATATTATCGTGATTAGGGTTAGCTGTACATAGTTTTCTGTTGAAAAGTCATCCTTATTAACTACTGCTAATCTTCTGAGAACATGATATATGATGTGTGAGCTGAGTAACCAGTAGGGTTCTATATAATTAATATTGGTTGCTACCATTTGTATATTTTGTATTTAAATGTATATACTGTACATAAGAAAGATAGTGTGTGTTTGTTTGCTTGTTGTGTGTTGTTCAGTCCTCCTGTATGTACTAATACATCATTTTGACATATATCAAGCTTTGAATACAAAACTCAATCATGTATATTAATGGTTAAGTTCAAATTATTTCTTTATTACAAAAGAAACAAATCAAAGTTATGATGAGGTTTCATTTCTATTTATGTTATAATGTTTAAATGGTTGTACCATTGTTTTAGTATTCTCAACATTTGACCTTTGTGACAGTATTCTATCATATCTATTTAAAGGAGAACTCTAGCTGCTGCATCTCATATTAGATTCTGAATGCGTAATCTGAAATACAAATCATTTGTAGGACACGATCAGGGTAACTATCTGTGTTTATCAACAAAATCATGTGCTCGTGTTATAATAGTTGCTGTTCTTATTCTGTAAACACATGACTGAATAAACAATAATAAACTCATTGAATCAAATAGCACATGAAACTCTTTATTTATAAATACTTTCTCTCATTGACTGACACCTTCTCTCATTGACTGAAATTTTCTCCTATAAGTCTGTCTTTTTTTTAAACCCAGTTGGGGCAGAGAAGGGGGATGATAAGCCTTACTTCTTTCTTTGCTAGAATCAATGGTTAAATGCCATTCATAGATTGTATTGAAATTATTTGTATTTCAGGTTGTACATGTTAGATAAAATCTAAACAAATGGCAATCGGTGTTCTGCTTTAAGGCGATAGGTTGGTTTATGTTGATTATTTTTGTATATAATTAGGTTAGTTTATAGTGGTTATATTTGTATATAATTGAATTATGTAATAAACTGATTATTATACAATCTATGAGTGATAATGTATGTTATTGTTATTGTATATAAACTGTCAAGTTTGTCCATTGTCCAAATTAAAATGTTATACTTCACTGTATTTGTTTATTATTCAACAATGGATGCCATCTTTTAACAGCATGTATTAAAGTCAGACAAATATTTAATTTGAATGTTAAGAATAGCTGGTGCACTATGACAGATAGATACCACTCTGGAAATGTCCAAACATTAGTCCAATGTCAGAATTACACTTGGGCAATTACGATGGATTTCTATTCAACTTTTCCAACCATTATTATGAAGGAGCACTAAAAGGGTTCAAATTGATTTTATAATATCACAGTATTACAAACTTTGCTATTTTGCCCCATTATGTTGAACAACTGAAATTATCTGCAGCATTTGAACATTTCCCTTGAAGTATTTTGGTATTAAGTTTATTTTCTGTGACAGAATGTATTTTCCAGTTGATGGATCGTCTGTCTAGAAAGAAATCGGATAAAACATTGATTTTCTATGGTTTTTATTGAAATATTAAAACTTTAAGATGAAATGTTTTTATGATGTGAATAACTGTATATCTTTATATTATTATCTGCTCCTGATGACATCATTAAATCTGGTATTGACCAATCAACTGCTAGTATTTTATCTTCATGACCAGTCATATCATAAAGCGGAGCTTTGGGGCTGAAAAATAGATAAAATAGTGATTTATAATCTGAGTGGGAAAACATTTTGCTTTATAATAACGACTCTATTTACAAAGTAAATTAGGTCAGAAGGCCGTTGATGAACAAAATAAATAATAATGTAAATCATTATAAAGAGAAATATATATATTGCAGGAGGTTATCAATAAAACATAAAAATAATTTGAGAACTATTTACAAAAAAAAAAAAAATAAGGTTTAACATCTTAAGTTTTTGCACCAACCAGGCTAAAGACATGGCATACACTGTGCTATGGGTGGAAATTACTGCCTGGACAACATTACAACAGAGTCTCCGCCCACTATTTGTACAATTATCTCAGGTTGGCTCTCAACTATTTACAAAAAAATTAATCAAACACACTGCCATACCATCCCAATAGATAGGGATCTAACACCAGTTTACGATATATTATCTTAACTTGATGTTGACTACATAATGCCCACGAGACTATATATTACAATGTATTAAATATGTTTCACTCTCTGGGAGCTGTAGTGGCTCAGTAAGTAAGATGCTAACTTGCTAGCCTAGAGTTCATTGGGATTTTCCAACACGGTTCCCACTTGTCAGTGTTGCAAGACAGAGGGTCTGACAAGGACAGTTGTCTAGTCATTTGGATGGTACAAAAAAAAAAACAAGGTCCTGTGTATACACAATCATGCACATAGAAGATCCCTTAACAGATGGAATTTGAAATTAAGAATAGGATGTAGGGCCGCTGTCCAGGCAAAATTTCCCACATAGCACACTGTATGGTGTAAGCCCATCTTCATTATCCCAGTCGGTGCAGTAAAGTAGGACGTTAAACAGCATTTCATTTTACTCTCTAATAAATCAGTAAAATACATTTATAAACACTGTTATTACAGGTTAACTGTCCTACCTTCTTCTATCCCATAATTTAACAATACCATCATGTGATCCAGATATAAAATGATTATCATTGGTTGACGACCAGGCCACACCTACTATCCATAATTTATGAGATGTGAATGCACATTTAACAACTGCACCATCTTTAAACAAAAGATAAGATAGTAGTTCAATTAAAAGTAAAATGTAATTTATTTTCTCTTAAGAAATTAAAAAGAATCTAATTCAAAATTAAAATTAAAAATCTAACTTTTCATGCATTTCAGTTTTCATTAGACGGTGTCTTATTCAAATAGTAAATATCTTTTTGTTGACTTCTGTCACTTAATCACTTAGACCACACTTTGTTAGCTTCGTATTTGGTCAATCTTGCTTTCTTAAATTGTAACCTCCATAGGCAAGCCTGGACATAAAGCACCCTTAAAGATATTGTCAGACACAAATCAACACACAACATATTTTTTATAATAGAAATATTGTGTGATAATTTGTGTCTGACAATGTCTGTAACTGGTACCTTATATCCAGGCTTGTCCATAGGCCATTCTGTGAGGATAATTTATTTCTGTGTAGCTAACAGAACTGGCTTCACCATGACATTTGTACTTAGTGTAGTATAATATATTAAATTACCTGTTGATCGTGGATCATAAAGTCGTATGTGTCTGTCTGAACCACCTGCTATAACCATTCCATTTGAAGGTGAATATGATATATCAAAAAAAGCTTTTGGTCCTTGCTGAAATATAAACAGGTTTATAGTTTATACATTTACCAATAATTAATGTTTAAAATAGGCTATAAGAAAATCTTGTCAGGCTTTACTAAATAACAACTGACACAGACCAATAAAATACACTCAGTTCTCAACAAACAGTGCTGGCTGGTGTTTATGGAGATGCACGGTTGTCAGTCCAGAACGTCCCAAATTGCCAGAATTGCAATCAAGTGGCACGAAATTCAGTTTCGACAACAGAGGTGGTGTGAGTAGAATCGTGACGTAATTAAACACAACCAATATGTTTCAGCTGTCATGTTTGGTTGAAATATTTTCTTATGTAGGCGGCGCATGCGTTGTAGTCAAAAATACCCCCTTTTCATTCAATTTTCAAAATTTTGGGGATTAAGAGAATTCAATTTAGTGTTCAATCGGATATCCCCTAAGTATATGCAAGAGGGGGAGATAATAACAAATGACCAAGATTGGTTGCAAGATAAAATGGAAGAGCACTGATGTAAACATTTTGAAATTCAATAGAGTTCTTCCATAAACAATTATGTCCAGAAGTTTGTATTTACAAGATTTCATAAATTTGAATGTAAACTAGTGGGATAGCCCTTCAATTTGTGATAATCTAATTTGTATTTCTGTCCAATTCAAAGCTTACTGTTTTATTTTGATCATGAGCGTTCAATTTACCGATGATTGTTCAAAAAGAATGTCCCATTTAATCATAAATGATGATTAAATTATTAGCTGAACCACCCAATTTCTCAAATGTGTTTAATTGCACATGGTATTCATTTTTGCTCACAGTATTCTATTTAACGTTCCCCATGCAATTGCAGATCTGTTTGCTTTTTCTGCTTTGATATTCAGATTCTATTACCCAGGTTTAGAAAATATAACAAGGTTTAAATTCTGTGTACATCGTCCATATTCTCTAATAAATGAGTATATTTGTTAAATACTGTTTGATCCTCTACTTCCGAGTTGTAGATATAGACATATAAAAACACATAATCTTTAACAAATCTCTACTCCCTATTTATTTCTACAATTCTGTAAATAATAACATACCAATTGTGATTTTTCTAGAGCTCTGTTAACATCCCAGATACGTAGTGTATTATCCCAGGATGCTGTACATACATCTGTTAAATTTAACCATTTTACTGATGATATAGCTTCTTTATGACCAGACATTGTAACGATAGGTACCTAGTAAATATAATCTACATGCATACACTAAATCCAAACCCACAACACAAAATTATTTCTTTAGCAATATTTCTTATTATTTTTGTTTTGTTTTAATGGCAGGGTGCTTTTAGATATCAAAGCTAGAGATTAATATGAAAAAAGTTGTTCTGTAGTTATGTACATTTGTTTTGGGTGTACAAGAGAGAGAGAGAGAGAGAGAGATATGCTAATGAAGACTGATAAAAGTACCTAATTAAGAAACACCTTGAAAACCGATCAATTTAGAAAATGACTATACTTCTCATAAGAGAGAGGGTTTAATGTCCACTCGACACATTTCGGGACTAACACATGGTTCAATTTTATTTCAATAATTCGCTAGCACGTAGGGGTCTTTAGCAGTGGGAGGAAAGGGAGGACCTGAAGAAAACCCACAAGGTTGGACATGCAACCCTACTCTTTGTCACGTACAACCAGGGAATCGAAACCATGCCAGTTAACTCAATGACAGACCTTATGCTACACATTGTCTTCCTTATTGAAAACTCTAGAGAACAAAGTAATAATGTACCCTAGTTGGAATAATTTGATCTGTTTTCTTCCGTTTTTTCTGTGTTGATGTACTGTCTTCTTGTTCATCTTGTTCAGAAGCAGAAGCTGGAACAGAAAATTATTTTTGTATATTTGGAATGTAAGCAAAATGAGTATGCTTGCAAGAAAATATTTCTTAACAAGAAGAATATCATGTACATGACATCAAATGACAGACTACTGACCAACTGTTGAAATTTTCTGTCACAGAACAACTTCCACAAATATCTAATTGTCGGTAGGTACCCCAATTACTGGTCAAATACTGATAAATGGATATATTACCTGTTGACCAGATCTTTAACATTTTATCCCATGAACCACTACAAAACTACAATAAAATAAATAGCATTTAACACAATAAAATAATTAAGATAGGTTGCCAGGCATAAAAACATACGCCCACAGCAGGTAAATATCATATGAGCGGTCAACAAGGGTTGTTGCATATTTAATCTTTTGTAGGTAATGGGAGGCATTTACAAAACAATTTCATACAGATCAGACTATAATTTTCGTCCTTTGAGGGAAACAAGGGCCTGAATTCTGGAAATAATATACAAATATTGTTAAAATTCAACAGCCTTTTTCGTTTTACTAATTTTAAACAATTCATATAAAATTCATACAGATCGGATGATGACTTGTCGTTTGAGCATTCACAATGTTCAACAAAATAACTCTAGACGTAATTAGAAGAAATTTCTGAAATTCAATAGGCTTCTTCATTTCACTAATTTAAATAATGAATAAAAAATTCATACAGATCAGATGATAATTTTGTCGTTAGAGTGTTCACAGGGTTCAACAAAGTCAAACAAGGGCCATAACTCTAGACGTAATTAACGGAAATTGCTGTAATTCAATAGAGTTCTACGTTTCACTAATTTAAAGGATGCATATAAATTTCATGCAGATTGGATGTTGATTTTTGTCCTTAGAGCGTCTCACTAATGTAGACAACATATATCAATTTTAAAACAATCAGATGATAAATGTGTCTGTAGAGTGTTCACAAGAAATTGTGGAAGATGGATGGATGGATGTGGGCGATGGCAATATACAACGACATTTCCATGTGGGCGTATAAAAACTATACAACAAATAGCATTTGTAACAAGGACGGGGAATTATCCTTTGTTGTTTTTGCTCAATAAGCAGATTGCTTTCCCTCTAGTAGATTGGGTGGAGCTTAACCGTGCAATAACCAGACATTTTCAATGTTATTGCACACTTTTGCTGGTTTATGCCAGTTTTAGAAGAAATCATATAGAGAAATGGGGTTGCTTTTCTGTACAATAACAACGAGCATGTTGAAGTTCCTACAATATAGTTTATAAGATAACCAATAACCTTTGCTAACATTGAATGGAAATAATTCAAGATTTACATATTAGTCACACACTTACCCTTTGATTTTCATTGTTTATTGCAAGACAATCAACACTTTCTGTATGACCTCTACAGGTCACCATACAATCTACTTCTTTCTTTTCTTGGTTCCATTGCCATATATGGATTGTCTGGTCATGTGATCCACTGATAAATAATGGTGATGTGTCTTCTTCATCTTTAAATATGAATAAGAGTTCCATGATCACAAAAATTTACAAATTTAATTCATATAGTTTTTCAACGCTTTTCAAACTCATATTTTGGTATCTGTTCTTCAATGTCAATTTGGTTTGTTTTTATCTCCTTTAGAAATTATCCAATAATATTAATTCAATTTAAGTAAATTTATATAAATAGAATGTATTAACATGTATATCTATAATGAAATTAACTAATATTTAAATATTATTAAATCAATTGGGACTAACATGCAGTATTTTTAACATTCATTTCATTTTTCGATTGCACTGTGGCAGGAATGTGGAAAACCTTGAAAACCCATCAATTTAGAAAATGACTATACTTCTCATAAGATCGAGAAAGCCACGGTGGCTAAGTGGGTAAGACGCTGGTTGGCTAGCCTGGAGTTTGCTCCCGGTGTTGGCAGAGAAAGTTCATAAGGATTTTATGGTATTGATTCCATCTGTCAGTGACGCAGGACGTTCGGATGGGATAAAAAAACAAAACAAAGTCCCATGTACACATTGCCGTGCACGTAAATGATCCATTGAGCCTTGACAGTTGGAATTCGAGTAGGCCGTAGCACCACTGTCTTGGCAAAATTTCCCTCATAGCACATAGCCCACTGTATGCCCGTCAGAGCAGAACAGTTGGACTGAAAACCCCATATCATAAGATCAAACTAAAAACCGGAATGGAGACCTACAGAGTTTTTGTTATTAGCAAATTGAAGTCTTGATGGCGTCTTGCAATATTATTTGATGTTATGAGAGGCAATGAGTGGGAACTGGAAATGGTATATCCTGATAGTCCTTCAAATACAATAGGAGTTACATCTGTTTATATACCTTGTGTTATCCATTTTACAGCTTTTACAGGTCCAGTATGAGCAGGTATTGTCATTAACTCAGTCCCATCCGTCTTCCATAGTCGTATTGTATTGTCATAACAACCAGATAAAACACTGAAATAAATATACACATATTAAATAGAGCTGTTGTTGAAGAACCTTTGTCCAAGATGGCATCTCTAATTCTATTCTCAAACCACATGTAACTTATTACCGGTAGTTTATTTCATTGAGTTAAATTAAAGATGTAGTATGCAAGAGCTAAATCTGCCTATTTAAGGTCTTCCATTTGATCTCAAATGTTATATAAATAACATTGTATATAATTAGACTCTCTAGATGGTCACAATTTTCAATGGATTGAAACAGGATCGCCACATAATAATTTTATTTCAAAAAATGGATAATCAAGACTTTGTTTATTATTGTAACAATGGTACTTGACCATCAAGACTATATTGTGAAAACTTCAAAGTCTGAAACGAGTAGTTTGACTGCAATATTCAGTATATTAATTTTTCATTATCTAGTTTGAATTAGTACTAGTATAGTAAGAACGACCAGACCTTTATCAGTACTAGTATAGTAAGAACGACCACACCTTTATCTTAATCTTACCTAATGCATTTCTAATAGTTTCAATCATTGAGCAGAAGATCAAAATATGTTTTAAAGTAAATAACTAATGGAAGTCTCCAGTCCAGTAGGTGTTTAATCTTTCTTTTTTAAAAATATAAAATTGAAATTGTGTATAAATTCCAATTAAATTGAAGAAAGTGTAGAAAGCATGTAACATATAAGTAAAACTCACTATTGACTATAACCTTGTAAACAGCTGACCCAGTCATCATGTAGAAGTGAATTATCAGGTTTTGGAGCTGGATGATGCTCTATATATTCTATTTCTAAAACATTTTCCTAAAAGAAAAAAACAAAAGTAGATCATTCATACTATATTCAATTGAATATTATATTTGCTACATGTTAAATTTATGAACTGTGGGGACAATTTCACTAATCAAATGTAAAGTCTCAAAATAACAGGCCTTTGAACATACAACAACTAATTACTTACAGTAGAGATATTTCTTTGTTCCAGGTATTCATTTAATGCTACTCTCAAAAATTCTTCATTTATCAAAAAATCAAACTTAACAGATTCATCTTCAATTTCATCACCTGTAAAAATTAAAAAAACAAATATCAAGAAATCGGGACTAGATTTAAAATTAAATAATGAAACTCTATTCCTGTTTCTAAATAATTCTCATCATTTCTGATCAAAAATATTATTTTTCATTTGTTTTCTAAGCTTAAACCAAGGACCTTTATAATACATGCTTAAACTATAGCAATTACCGGGTACATAGGTTCAGTTGACTCCACAATAGTAACACTGATATTATAATATCAGCCTGGCCATTATTTATACACAATAAGGTGCTTTTCCTCAAAATAACTCAATTATATTTGTTGTGTTTTATTTATATTTTGTAGGCAAACGTTAAGGATTCTTTTAATTCAAAAAAAAAATACAATCATGAAAACCTTTTAAAAGTCCATTTATAAGAGAGGATAATTCTTCAACACCAACTGTTACAGGAACAGAAAATGGAGTATCAGGAACAGAATATCTGAAAAACACAAATACCCATATTGAATCATACAGTTTAGTTTTTCTAAGGCTAAATATGTTTTAATGACAAGGGAGTCTGATGAAACAAATCTTCCAATGCAGTCTATTCACATCTTTGTGAAGTTTCATAACTTGACTATGTCAATCATATGACAATTTTTTGGGCATTAAATATAGTATATGAAAATAAAGCTGAAGCAATACTTTCTATTTATTCTGGTAAATCTATAATGTCAACGAAATAACACTTCAGTTGATGCCCCTAGGATGAGTAGGTCTACATGTACATGCAGTGGCGGCGCCAGCCGTCGGTGATGGGGCAAAGTCCAAGGTTAAGGGGGCAAACGCACGAGCTTGAACTAGGGGTAGGGGGCCTCCCCCAGAAAATTTTGAAAAACAGGTTGCCAGAAATGCAACCTGGCAGTATTTCAGACTCTGATCGATGAGGTAAAGTGTCAAACGAACGTACTTGCGAATCACAACGAAGTCCACTCACGAGCGTCAAAGTAGGGAGTCCTCCCCCAGAAAATTTTGAAAAAAAGACTGCCGGAAATGCTGTCTTACAGTATTCTGTCAGGCACCGATCGTCGAGATAAATAGATCTGCCCAGATACTGTTTGTCGCCTGATCACTAGTTTATCCGACTAGAGAACAAAATGTCGATCAAACGAACAGACTTGTGAACCTCAACGAGTTCCCCTTGTGAGCACCAAAGTAGCGAGTCCATTGGGGACCTCGCCAAGAATATTTTGAAAAATAGACTGTTGGAAATGCTCTACAACATGCAAGTTTATGACTGAGTGGGGATGTGGGATTTATTCACCGTAGAAGGCATTGATTACCAAAACGTATCGCAAATACTTTTTTTTATTTTCTAAAATTATTGGGGGGGCAAACAGAGGGCAGACCAGATTGCCCCCCCCCCCTCCCGGCGCCGCCGCCACTGTGTACATGTTGCAGGCCAAGGCGGGGGGCGGGGGCGAACATGCCGATCATTAAATTATTATAAATTATAATGATAATTCATGCCAATTACGGTCAAAGATCTGATACTCATTTGTTTAATTTCTCTTGTTATACGATTATATCAATCGGTTATCGTCAGATTATTCTTTAAAAAAAATAATTCTATTACTATATTTTTGTTGTTTACTTACTGAGTTTGTTTGGTGAAAAATTTAGCTTGCACGTGTGGTGTGTTTTCATCCATGATTGTTATTTATCTTTAATTGAAGAGAACTTATCTAAGGGAGATAATACAATATGTTGTCATTCATTTGGATGCAGACCACCATTAATTTCCCCATTGACTTCAATGTTAATTCAGGCCTCTTTGCCCACGTCCAACTTTTCCCCAAATTTTCGTTATGCTGAAAGCTTTTCACTACAGACAGAGGAACAAATGGTCATGTCTTTGCACTAAAATTTGTATGAGGTTGACGACCAAAATTTTGAGATACACAAACTTGAAGAAGCATACTAAAAACATAACTGTTGTTAATTCAAACCCTCTTCGTCCATTCCAGACCAAGAAATCAACCAAAATGGGCATGCAAAAGCCAAAAGGGGAGAAAGGAGACAGAGAGAGAATTGCTATAAATAGACGAACTAGGGTACCGAGATGGTGAAATTTAATGTTGGTCTGCCTCCACTTGCATTGACTTGAAAGTAAATCCATACCACTTCTAACTTGGCATATTATATAATATTTTGAGGGCATTCCGATAGTCTTAATCTGTATAATCTCAAAGAGTCCCATATGTCACATCCGATAAACATATTGAAGGGGATGACGGGGTGGGAGATGACAACAGGCGCGGATCGGGACAGGGAACGGGGGGGGGGGGGTCCGGGGGCTCTCCCCCTGGAAAATTTTGAAAAATGAACCCCAAATATGCGATGTGGTGGCATATCTGATTATAATCTCTGTCAAATAATATATCTCATAAATCGATTAATTTAGGTCAGAACCCCGACCTGCAAGTAATTTACAACCACCAACCTGTAAAATTATCATATCGTCATATTATTAATTTACGTATTATCATTGTATCGTCAAGAGTCAAGAGAATTTAACTGGTTAAAAAATGGGACTAGTTGAGAAAATTTTGACCATTTTATTAACCAGTTAGGAATATTGAATAAGTACTAAAGTAGCACTCATATTCAACCAGCAGACCAGCTATCATCAAATTTTGCTGAGGCCTTAAAATTAATTTTTTTTTTTTTTTTTTTATTTGGGGGGGGGGGGGGAGTTACGAACCATCGGCAGACGTTTCTGGCGTATCCCCACGAACAGGGTGCAGGTGACTTAATAATTGGTAAATTTGCGGGCGACAGTGTCGGATGAATCCGATGAAATTTTCGGATGAAATTCGGAATCCCCATTGCAGGATTCCGAATTCCGGCCCACACCCAGCACACCCGGCCCAGAAAGTCTATTATACCAGCCCATTCCAGACTCCAGTGATAGCGTGGCGGCCCGTTAAAACCACCGGCCACATACAACATGATCATCATCGCTCCATGGCCGGTCCAATACCCCCCCCCCCCCCAAATATAATGTTCAGCAGAAAAGGTTTTTTTTAGACGAATTGCCTAATCCTCCCCTGGATGACAACAGTTTCGATTTTTTTACTAGGCCGGCGGTTGATACCAATGGCCAATGACGTTATTTTAATAGTAGATATCTGTTTACTTCTAAGTTCCCGATCCTTCCGCCGCAAAATCATCAATATTCACCAAATCTTGGCAGGAAATGTAAACCAAAACACTCATCTTCGATTCTAGACTGACCATAAAGTCAATAAAAATTACATTTAAACGTGATTATTGCTTGCTGAAATTTGACGAATGTAGTAACGATCGGCAAAAACTTCACAGATTCATGCACTCCTGGATTGGCAAGAAATACAACACTAAGCTACCAGCATCTGAAAATTCTAAAACATTAGAAGATCGATAAGATTCGGTCGGATCTACAAATCTCTTCTTCAGCCACCCTGGATAATACCCCTACTTTTAGTGGTGAACCGCTTCTTGAATTCAGTCTTCATTGAAAAGGAAATCTCTGAAATAATCCTTTCTTCCAAGCCCACAACTTGTATTAACGATCCTATTCCAACTCATATAGTTATACAACATTTAGATATTCTTCTTCCAGTTATCACAACAAAAATAAATACTGGTATAAAAAGTGGAATCTTTCCTGACATCTTCAAACAAGCAGTTGTTCGACCACTGCTGAAGAAAGACAATTCAGATTCGAATATACTTAAAAACTTTCGGCCGATATCAAATCTTCCCTTTCTCTCAAAAACATTGGAGAAGGCTGTTTACCTTAGGCTTCGAGAACATTTATCCTCTAATTATCTGTTTGATAAATTTCAAACTGCATAAAGAAAAAATCATAGTACGGAAACAGCATTACTTTGAGTAGTTAATGATATTCGCTGCGCTGTGATTGCGGTAAAGTGGGTTCCCTGGTGTTACTGGATTTATCTGCAGCCTTTGATACGATTGACCATGACCATAAGTTGAAAACTCTCGAGACCCATCACGGTATTCAAGGACCTTGTCTAAAATGGTTTGCATCATACTTAAATAATCGAAGTCAATCATCTGTCATTGCAGATGCTTTTTCGGATGCAGTTGAATTAAACTGGGAAGTTCCCTAAGGCTCGGTGCTCGGACATGTTCTGTTTATTCTCCAAACAACTAGTGTATCTCATATCATCAGCCAACACAGCCTATTACATCATTACATGACACTCAGATTATTGATAGTTTTTATCCTTGTGACTTTGACCAGTCATTTCAACGTACATCAAATTGCACCCAATCTTTAAAAGGCTGGATGTCCACCAATATGTTGAAATTAAACGATGACAAAACTGAAGCTATCATGATTGGATCAAGACACTCATTATCAAAATCTGATAGATCAACTTTGAAAATAGCTGACTCAGAAATTAAACCAGCCAACAAAGTTAAAAATCTGGGTGTTTACATCGATTCAGAACTCTCCATGGAAGTTCAGATTAATTATATCTGTAAAACCTGTTTTTTCCACCTCCGCTCTATCAGAAACATTCGTCATCTAATATCGAAGGACGCATCTCATACTCTGGTTCGATCACTCGTCGAATACTGTAATAGCTTGTTATCTGGAATACCCCACAAACTGATATCAAAACTCCAAACCATTCAAAATACTGCAGCTCGAATCATCAGTCGATTAAACAGGAACTCACACATCACACCCACACTCAAAGAACTACATTGGCTGCCAATTAAATCAAGAATAGCTTTTAAGCTCTTGTGCCTTGCGTATAGTGTTTACATGGAACTGGACCTTCCTATCTAGCAGATCTGTTATTACCATACTTTCCCGGACGTCCACTCCGTTCTAAACAGGAACATCTTCTTACAATCCCAAAATATAAACTCAAATCATTTGGATACAGATCGTTTGTTCATATTGTGCCTGTTTTGTGGAATTCATTACCGCTGAACATTAAACTGTCACCCAGCCTAGAAACATTCAAAACTAACTTAAAAACTCATCTATTTACGGCCTATCATGGCACCCAGTCTGTGTAGCGCCTTGAGCATGCATACTAGCATGGAACTGTGCACGATATAAATATACATATTATTATTATTATTAAAAGAAAAAACGGTTGCCAGGCAACGAAACATACACCCACGACAGTCAGCAGCTAATTCGTCCGGGTGTCAACAAGGGTTGTCTCATATTTTTTTCTTTTGTCAGAAATGAAAACATTTACAACACACTAAAATCTGATTACGAGTAACAACCCATTTGGCTTGTATTCTATAGTTCTATCCTATTCTAACATTTTTTAGCATACAAAACATTTCATAATCATGGGTTAAATTCAACGTCCAATGGAAACAAACCAGATCATTTCGAGACTTAGGATGGTCAATTTTATTTCAATAATTCGCTTGCTCGTTGGGGTCTTTGGGAGAAAACTGGAGAACCCGGAGAAAACCCTACTCTTTGTCACGTACAACAGAGGAATCGAACCACGTCACTGATCCAAATGGTCTAAGGCTAATTATCTCCGGTTGTGCTAGTTAACTCGTCCACATGCAAAGTCGTCAACAGTTAAGTCGTCCACAACCGTTTGTTAAGTCGTCCACAGGGCATTATAATTGGTATGTCGTCCACAACTAATGATTAAGTCCTCCACATACTGTTTGAATGGCACTTAGTAATTGGACACATTAAAATAAACACAACAGTTCTATGGATAGCAATTACTATATTTAATTAAAGCTACGTTGAAACGTAGCTTTAATTAAATATAGTAATTGTTATCCATAGAACTGTTGTGTTTATTTTAAGTCCTCCACAACTAATACACATATTGTGGTCTAAACTGTGTAATACATTATAAAATAAATCACAAATCAATGGAATATATGGACACTGCATGCTTTCTTTTAAAGGTCCTAAGTCCGTAACTCAAAATCCTCCAAAATCTTCGACATCGAAAACACGAATTATTGGTCAATTTAAATCAACATTGATGATGTAAACTTACCGGGAAAAGATGAGCTTCTGATATCCGATATTTAAGGTAAAATAAATTTTTTAACATTGGTACACGAATCGTATACCATAATGCGCTTCAGCCCCAGTTGTATTGAGAGACTCGAGGGACGAGGCTAGACACATTGCACCAAATCAAATGGAGTTATGTAGACTAGAATAACTAGACGCTAGAAATTTGCACTCGATTGAGATTGACGACTTATTTCGCCGAACATAACTGATTTGAAATTGGAGTCAAAACGGAAACCATTAAATGTAAATCAGTTTATATACATTCATATTACAGTATTATATGCGTTGCGACCCACTTTTGTGAATTTCTAGGTCCCAAATGTTAGCGATTTAGCTCCTTTAATGTTGGGTTACTTGTGGCGCCAGGTCTTAATAAATAATTCTGAACATGAAGATTTAACACGTGTCGAAAAAGTGGCTACGTGCAATTTTATTCTTTGATCTGTTATATCACGGGCCAATTCTGTTATAATGAAACCAACCTGCATGAAAAGGAAGAAGTTGGACACTATTCACAATAAAATATTTATAAAATGAGAATAACTGGGGAATATTTATAGCGGGTGTTGCGCCAGGCAGGGTAGGCTTACTCTTCCGGACACCTAGATTACCACTGTTTGTTGTGTATTTTGTACACGGTGAACAGTCCATTTGCTGATTACACTATTTTGCCTATACCGTATTTTTTAGGACTTCGAATTTTGTCTAATGCCATGGTTTGGATTGTTCGTACTTGGTTTTATTTTATTTATGGTCGAATAAAGTGATATTTTGTTGTTTGTTATTTATAAATGCGTTCGCCAATTGGCGTAAAGAAAATTATACTCATATCAAACACTCAATTATACTGACTATGAATTGAATACTTTCTGTGTCCCTAACATTACACAATGTTGTGTGAACGACTTAACCAACGTATTTCTACCGGGCCCTATTTCTACATCCCGAAATTAAACTAAGTCGTGTGGACGAGTCAACCAATGCCGTGTGGACGACACCATCAACGAGTGTGGACGACTTAACCATATTTTTCGTGTGGGCGACGTAACCATATTTTTCGTGTGGGCGACTTTGCTTAAGTAGACGACTTTTCCCTTAATTTTTTATCTCCTCTTTTCCTGCATTTCTTCGTTGGCTTAATTTTTGGTCTATATAGTATATAATGCTCCGATAGCCTGCAATCATCCTGGTGATCTTATTATACCTATATATTCAAGTTTCGTCAAAATGGGATAAAAATTGTGATCTGTAGATTGTCTACAAACCAATTCTGGACTGACGGACAGGGACGACGACAATATACGTTCACATGAAAATGTGGGCGTATAAAAATGCTAATGAAAGCTGAGTACGATTTCTCTACTTCTGGTTTAGTTGGGCAAACGATGACGTGATATTTGACCAATCCAACAAGTCGACACATTCGCGCATGGACTTAGTAAACATCCGGTTGGGGGCGACAACTGTGGCCGATTATCGAAATACTTCCGCCTTCTATTGCAGAAAATGTGTCAAGTTCGGACATTTAATCCTTGTACATGACACCTGTCAAAAACAGAACAATTTTAAATTTAATACATACTATTTATCGGTAGGAAGTTGGAGTATTTGTTAGATTTCTACTTAGCTGCATTTACTTTGAAATCCACTGACTTTGGAGACAGTAATTATTTGTTCCAAGAAGACCAAATTGGACATAACAACAAAATAATAGTTTGAGAATTGGAGAAGACGATCTAACATGGAGGTGTTAAATATTTGTTGTGTGTCATGTCAACAGTATTATGGGTGATTATATAATATGTGTTGTCACTGACACCCTTTCTCTAACGTTTTGTGAAATTTGAAGACATGGGTGACCTTGACACAACGCTAGAAGAAGATGTGAATTATAGGCGTGTAAAAGTTTTGTATGATTATAGCTATACTGACTCAGATATTGAAGAAGATGTGGCGATGCATGCCGGGGAGGAGTTCTTTCTCATTCAAGAAACCAATGACGAATGGTGGGAAGTTTGCCGAAAGAAAGACTCCAACACCTTCTATGTACCTGCTCAGTATGTCGAAATCATAGACAGTGTTATAGTTACTGATGAAAATTCCAATAAAGAAGCCATCAAAAATGTGCCATCAAATAATCAAGATGAGGGCGTTAATAAAACTACACAGGAACCCAGCAACATTCCTTCGAGTACCAAAGAAGTAATCTATGCGAATCTCGATGAATACAGGGCCAAAGCCAACATTCCACAACCTCCGGCTAAATTAGATTTAGCTGATAATGATGTTAGTTTGTATTGCATAAAATTTATTTCTCTATCTGGTAGATAATGCAGTTTATCTGATGATGTTTCTAAGTTCTAATTACATGCATTAATTAACCCTTTTATTTATAAAGAGATATACCAAAATGACCTTCATGTAGTTTGTGCACGTTAAACCCCATGCTTTTTCTTTCTTTCATAGACAATTAGCAACATGTATATCACCAATTAAACAGGGGGGATGGTAGCTGGATGGTTAGCATGTGCGCACTGTATCATAAGGGCTGTCATTGAGTCAACTGGCGCAGGTTCGAATCCCCGGTTGTACGCGACAAGGAGTAGGGTCGCCTGTCCAACCTCGTGGGATTTCTCCAGGTCCTCCGGTTTCCTCCCACTGCTAAAGACCCCTACACGCAAGCAAATTATTGATTAAAATTAAACCATATTTTAGTCCCGAAATGACCTAGTTTGTGTTGAGTGGACATTAAACCCCATTTCTCTCTCTCTCCAATTAAACAGGGATATGAATATGTTCTAGTCTAATTTTATTGTGTAAAACATTATATTTTATTTGATATATATATGTTTATTGTTTGAAATGTCTACATGTATTTTGTGTCCAGTCCATAGGTTTTTCTTGTGTAATTGTGTATGTGGGTTGCAATCCTCCTACACTTACATGTATTATGTTTTGTATATAGAATACAACATAAATAGAATCTGTTTTTGATATTAGTGTAGAGTAACAGACAATAATTTACACAGAAGAAACATTGTAATGACCAAAACTATTAGCTTACTTTTAAAACAAATTGTTCCCAGATCACAACATTCAAAGAATTTCAAATGTTTAAAACAGGATGATATTCAATCTGTACTTGAAACAATGTTATCTTCATTAAATACATGCAGCTACAAGGTACGGTGCTCAGCGGCGGTAATCCGAATTTAATTAAAACACAGGTCCTATTTCGTTTCGTTTTTTATAGTTCAAAATTTTGTTTTACTTGTCTTTTCTGCCCTAGGATCTGGAAGAGTTGTTTTGATATCGGCGTTTTGGTTGAAGTGAGGGATAAGCCAATGAAACAGTCTGTTACAGCGACTACTTGGCGTGCCAAGCACGAAACTGTGGGTAAACCACTACAAACGCCAACGCTGACTGATTAATCAATGTCTGTCTGACATCATAGGGTCAAAAGCCACTCGTTTGACACCTGACGTGACCTTATAGTACAACTTGTTAGATCTTCATGTAGTGTAGGCCATCGAAAGTATAAAAAAACGAAACGAAATATAGATCTGTATTTTAATCAGATTGTGGTAGTCTGTATTTCAAATATGCGATGAGATTGGAACATTATATATTTTTTAAAACATACAGTTCATAATTCAAATTAAAGAAAAGGATTTTGGAAGTTATTAGGTCAAATGAAGAGGAAGGGAATTTATACATGTACATTTGTGACTAGTCTACTGTGACTGTTTTATGATCATCCAGTGACCTCCATATCAATCATGACAGGAAATAACTGTTAACAAAGTTATTTCATATCTAATGTAGCCTATTTAGCTGCATGTAGAGATTGAGAGATTTTTAACTGAAACATTTGGGCTGAAATTCCTACAAAAGTGTGAAGGCATTCACTAGAACTTCCAATAAGTTAAATACATGGAGTGGGGTAGCCTAAATTTTACAAGTTTTTGAGAAATATTGTGCAACATTTGATATTACTATGTTTCAAAAACATATAACCAACATGAGTATTTGAATAATTAAAATTTTAAATTAACATATACCCTCATTTCTTAATTATAATGTAAAATTATTGACCTATATTTAATTATTATCTTATCTAGCCTTTTTGTTTTCTCTGAGAAGAACAACATTTAAGCCAAAATTAAGACACACCCCCATAATCTTAAATATAAGTTGAACATCACATATTTAATTACTTAGTGTGTTATTGTAAAGCCTGTATAATGACCTTAGAAAGGACTATTGTTTTTTTATTGCATGACTTTGTTAATATAAATAGCCTATTTTTAAATCAGAAAGGTTGTACATATCACATGAACTGCAACTTGAAAATCACCACTACTGTTGAAAGGTCATTAGTATTTAGTATTTATATGTCAAGCTAAACTGGTTTTCTTGCACAATTAAAAAAAAACTAATGTGGTAAACTTTTAGGAAATAAAGTTCTAGAATTACACAGTATGATGGATTTTATTTGTTGTGATAAGACATTAGTGTTCACACAAATATTCATCTGTTTTTTCAGATGTTTATCTTGTGTTTTTTTGGCACTTGTTATTCAATGTAAATTAAAATCAATTAAAATGAATGGAATTTTAATAGTTTTTGTCACCAATAGAAATTATTTAATATATTAATTCATTGAAATCTACTAATATTCAAAAATAAATAAAAAGATATAGTAAATCTATTTATTTAATAGATTCAGGATTTCTAAAAATTTTAAAAATGCACTAAAACAATCCTTTAATTGATTATGTAAATTGAATCAAATATTCAGGTAACAGTCTAAAAATGACTACCTGTATATTTGTCTTAATATTTAAATAGTAATTATGCATGCAACCACCAGGTACAACATGTAAGTTGCAAGTGATATATACAGGTAAAATTAATCCAGATTAAGTGTAAAAATTACAGCCAAAGTAATTGAGTGTTGTTTTTTTCATAGCCTAATTAACTTTATATAATGATATGTTCTTTCATGGAGTCATGTTTGCTATAATACTACAGTGTATGTGTAATTAGAAACTAAATTTATCTAATAAAATGATAGTCACACTATTATTATACACCTATCCCAGATATATTTACATAGTGGAACATTAATTAGTGTTGAGATGAAAACGGTTTCAATGAATATTTGTCAACACCACCTCTTCACAACAAATGTTATTCATTTTGCTATGTTGAAATTTTCCCCAGATACATAAAGACAAATATTCCTGTTCCTTGAGATAAAATGAACAGGGATGTAGATACTTGTATTAGGCATATGGTAAATTATTAAAGATGTATTAAGTAAGATTAAGATAAAGAGCTGGACGTTCTTACTACAATACATGTAGTTCAAATATAGATAATTAAAAATGAATATTTCAGCAAAGTTATGACTGTTTGAAGATAGAGTGTTGATCGGTCATTATCCTTGCAACAGTACTCGACAACCAAGATTTATTGTTATATTTTTAAATCTTGCGGTTTTTAAATCCATTTAAATCATGTTTGTAACTGTCTAAATAATCATTTATATAACATTTGAAGCCAGTATAAAGACCTGCATCAGTAAGGTTTAGCTCTTGCATAATGTATCTTTAACTGACTATTTATGATAAATATCTTTGGACAGACAATTCAAGAAAAGGTTAAAAATGTGGTGCTATTTTGAATCATTGTTTTAAATTTCCAGGTTTTATACCTTTTCTCTTTGATTATTTTGACTTTGATTCTTGTGATTCTTGTAACATATTTGGCATATGCTTTTTTTTAACTTTTACTTGTTATAAAAACTTGGTAATTTTATTTTAATATTTGCAGGGGCCTTCTGGAGAATATGCAAATTTAGCCTTCATACAAAGTTCTATCCACCCTCCATCAGTAGAACAAGGAGATTATCTTCATGTTTTACTCGAACCTTTACCTTGGGATGTTTATAGAGATAGATATTCAGGTCGAGAATTCTTTCATAACAGAGAAACAAATGAAACAACATGGAAACCGCCAAGAAAAGCACGAACTCCTACATCCCCTCCACCAGAGGTAATTATAAAAATGACCGATTGTATTGCAAGCTTATTAATAAACAATTAAGTGTATTAGATACTACATGTATGTCTTCGTAATAAATCTTCATTTGCATGTCAATAATAGTCTTTAAAAGATGATTTATTATTGTGTTCATTTTGTTCTCTTTCACTTTCTCATTCATTTATTCATGACAGCAATCTGATTAAAACACAGATCCTATTTCGTTTCGTCTTTTATAGTTCAAAATTGTGTTTTACTTGTCTTTACTACACTAGTATCTGGAAGAGTTGTTATATAACCTGTGTTCTGGTTGATTTGAGGGATTAGCCAATGAAACGGTCTGTTGCATCGAGTTCTTGGAGTGCGATGCACGGAACTGTGGGTATCATACTAGAAACATCAGCACTCATATGATCCCCGACGCAAACCTCACCCCCACCCCACCCCCAACACACCCTCACTACAACTTGTCAGATCTTCGTGTAGTAGAGGTCATTGAAAATATAAAAAAACAAAATGAAATATAGATCTGTATTTTGATCAGATTGTAATGACAGAATCTTATTATTCGGATCTTGATATCATGCATCAAGAAGATTATGGTAGTGCACATTGTGATACTGTTTACATATAGGTACATGTATCTCACATGAAATATGCTATTGATCTTTATATGTATATATGCAAGGCAGACAAATAGTGATAAGCATTACAAATCCCATGCAAGATATTACTTAGTAGCATATTGGTAAAAAAGAAAAAGGAAAAAGAAGTTATTGGTCGATACTGTAACAGATGATCGACAACACCACTAAGTCATGGTTACAACCTCGGTATTGTTTTATAATACCATTTTAGATTAGCATTTGTTTTTTTTTATAGACAATTGGAAAAACTGTTGAAAAATCCCACAAAAGAACGGCTAGTGTACCAGAAATTATTAAAAGTAAAAGTGCTATAGATGAATATCATGTAAATATAGAACATGGTGATACAATTTATACACATAAAGTTACAGAAGAAAGGGTATGTATTACACATTGATAAACCATAGATGTTATCTTTAACATCCTATTACACACCATAAATGCCTAAAGGACATATTCATTAAAATATGATTGTATAATTGTTGTAATTGTCCCAAGTCAGCCTATTAATTGCTCATGTTAACCGTTCTATCTAGGAAATCAGTTTTATAAAGATGTTAAGTGTGTAAGTGCTACACTTAATACATGTACAAAAAAAAATAAACACATTTCTTTCATTTAAGGGCTGTTGGTACACAAGCTCTAAAGTGCAATATCCAGTCTTGAGCTGATTTAAGGAAAAAAAATTGATATTGATTTGTCTCTTGTTATGTTGCACTCGGCGTTTTTTTAAGTTTATTATTCATTGTTTAAATTTATATGTTTAATTTTATCATTCAGATATTTTGTTAAGCATGTCAGTTAACAGTCCTACATATAAATGTTTTGTTATAATAAATAAATCAAGTGAGCCCAAAAGTTGAGCTGCAGAATCACACTTATTAATGTGTAACACATGATTTCAATGCCAGACACTATGACTATGTTTATATTAAAATCTCTTGACTAGAGACGGTTTGGTTGTGGTGGCAGTCACAGACTACTTTAACCTGTACATACAGTAGAATCTTTATTCAGCAGCCACTCAAGAGAATTATCATGACTGAACTCTTAGTATATTTAAGTTTTATTTCATGAAACTGTTTTTAAAATATATAATTATAAACTATTATATAAATTACTATGTATTACAATTAACAGTAATCTCAAATTACAGCATAAAGCTACTACTTCCCTATATTATATTTATCAATTATTATAACAATAGTTAGAATATATAATTCCAGCTGGCCACCAGGAAGCCAGCTGATAAAATATTTACATATGAAGAACATTATCAATAAAACTATCTGTATGATTTTTTACATTTGAGGGATAGAAGTGGATATCAGATTAACTCCATTTGAATACAGTGTGTTTTATTCAGTACAAATCCTTACCTTTCAAATGGCGATCTTTATATTAATTAGTTGTCGAGATACATGATCTCATAAGCTTTTGAAATAAGGTGACTCGGTTAAAATTTAAACATATGTGATTGTAATTCGTCCATTTTTTAAAACATCTAGAAAAAACAAATTTCTCCCCAGAATTCTTCATAGTTATCTGAACTAATTTGTTTTAATCAATTTCTTCTAAACAAATTGAAGCCTTAAAATTAAAGCTGGAAGTAGCAATCTTCTGAGATAAAACACGTTACAACATCTCAATATCTTAACACAACAGTAGTAACATTATATTCTGTAAATTATCTAGAAATTTACTGGTGCACTAGCACAGTTTATCCTGTCATCTAGTCGTTCTTTAGATATTACATACTCAAGAAATTTTATCAAAGAAAAATGTTCTTGATAGATAAAGTAAAAAAGAAAACAGCCAAAAAAGTAAAAGAGAAAATCCAACAGAGGAGGAACATAACTAATTATACTAGAGCTCATATGGCAACAGAAATTTTTATTCAGTCCAATTCACAAACTTATGCTACCATTTTAAAATCAAAATGGTAATATTTAGTTTATACAGAAATTTTGAATTTCTAAACTCCAGATGTTTGCAGGTTTTTACTACGTCATGCACTAACTTTTTGGATAGACTCAGCTTACTAGAATATACAATTTACCTTGCCATCACATTTTGAAATTGTCGCCTACAAAAACGGAAGTCAGTACTCTTATCGCATGTTTTTAAAGAATTTCAAGTTAACCCACTTTGGGAAAATGAGGTGTTATAGCAACCTGTTTTATATGTTAGCCAATAATATTTGAGTTTATTTCAGTGGAAGAAAGCTGTAGATGACAACCAGTCTGAATATTATATTAGTTTAGATAGAAATGAAACAGTTTGGGAACTTCCATCAAAGGTTGGCAGAAAAGTTAGTTTTATTCCAAAGGTAAAATATATTGTTTTGTTATACTGTATAAATATTATAAATCATTATAAAAACACCTAATTCCTTTGTCATCTAATAGTTACCCCTACATTATTATACAAAATCTGAGCAATTTAGTTTTCTTGATAGTTTTCAGAATTGCTAGTAAGAATTTTCTTTTGAGACAATTTGCATTTGTTGAATTGTGAGTTACAAATTCTTGAAATGTTTTACTGATAGAAATTAAACCAGAATTTTCATCATTTGAATTTTGAACCAATGCCTTGCAAACCATAACATATTAACGTTGCCAAGCCTCCCTACCATATTAGCCTTCCACATAGCTTAGATAAAATAATTATTGACACGAGTAGAGTTTCAGAAGGATGTTAAATGTTGATCTTTTTAATAATAGGTTGAAGAACCCGCTAATGGAGATGTAGGCGGACAAAATGACAAGTTTTCTCTCAGTTTACCCAGATCAGCTAAATCACGATCTGTACATGGTGGTGAAAAACTCAGACAAAGTTTGGAAAATGCGCTATCTAAATCATCTACGTTACCTCCTAATTTTTCACCTGCCAATCAAATGGTACGTTAAACTCTCAAACCATTCAGTTCTCAACTTATTGGAACCTCAACAGTTCCCAAAAAAGTGTGTGATTAGATTCTGTCGGATCAATTTATCAACCAACAAGGGCGTTTTTGGTCAATAGAGTCTGAAATAACGCTCATGTCAGTCATTAGAAAGACCTTTTTTTTTCAATATTTTAATTGTTCATAATTTTTTAAATTTTTTTATAAAATCTGTTGCCATACTTTGGACGATATTGATGAAAAGATGTTCTTGTATCGTGGATTAGTAGACAAGTATAGTAATATAATTTATACAAGCTATCCCATTCTTCATTATACTATTGATAAAAAAAAATGTTCTTGTGTGATTGATTAGTACTATAGTACACAAATAAAGTAATATTAATTCATACAAGCTATCTCATTCTTCATCATGCCTTTTATATGCCCACACTGAAATGTGGCTGTATATTGTAGTCTCCCCAGTCTTTCCTTCCGGCGTAACGGCGTCCATTATTGCTTGTTGATATATACAATGGCTTCAAATTCATACACAGTGTTGTTCAATGTCAGGAGACGAAGAACCCTATTGAAAAATCTTGTAGATGCTTTAGAGGATAAAGTTATCACCCGATTGACTTTACATTTCTATACAGTGTTCAAGGTCATGAGACAATGAATCATATGGATTTTCAGCGATTTCTGATAATTACTGCCAGAGTTATGGTCCTTATTTTTACCCTGATTTGCTTAATTACAGATTAATAGTGTTAAGTAAAATAGTATGTATTATTGACTTTTAAGGCTTAAAATACCCAAGTTGTGGTTGATTATCATCATTATATTTTATGTTTTATTTTTATAGCAGATTCAGTCATCAGCCTCCAGTGATAACATACCAACTAACCTAACTAAAACAGGGCGTCCTACATTTAAAGCCATTCAACAACCTGAGGTAAATATCATGTTTTCAAAACAGAAACATTATTGTATTGTATTACATTACAATATTAAGTTGTAATAGAGTTCATAAAACCATTACTATTACAGTACACTACATCATGATATTACATAACATTATTATATTACATTACATCATAATATTACATTAAATCATAATATTACATTACATCACATCATTATATTACATCATTACATTACATCATTATATTACATTTCATTTCATTTATTACATTCCATCATACTATTACATCTCATCTTTCTGTTACATTACATCATTATATTACATGATTTCATTACATTACACCATACTATTACACCTCATCATACTGTTCCATTACTACATTATATTACATTACATCATTATATTACATACCTTCATTATATTATAACATACCAACTAACCTAACTAAAACAGAGCGTCCTACATTTAAAGCCATTCAACAACCTGAGATAAACAGTGAAACATTATTACATGACATCATTACATTACTTTACAGCATAGAGCGACGGTGGCTCAGTGAGTAAAACACAGGCTCACTAACAAGGAGGTCCTGTATTTGATGCCAGTGTTTTGCAGTTACAATTACATTATACATTATATTATACATTCTCTTTCTGTCTCCATATAGTCTGGAGGCTCAGCGCGGGGGGGTGTCCATCAAATGGGCACAAAACCAGACCCAACTTTTCTAGAGTAAAATTTTGCGTAGAATACGATGCCGACTGGTAATCAGTCTGCCATTGGGGCGTTTTCGAGATATTCAGGGTCAAAGGTCAAATGAGTTCATTTGCACTGAAAGTGACTGCGCGGTCATTCTTGTATCATGAAAATAAGCTGAAAATGATCGAAAGTAATCACACTTTCAATAAAAATGTAAAATTGCTAAATTCACATTGTTCTTTGTGACCCCAGAGGTCAAAAGGTCACATTTTCCGTTTTAGCACTAGGAAGATTTAAAGTAATAAATGTCGGCGTAAAATATAAAAACTAAAGCGAAACCTGTTCTAATTAATAATAGGAACATTTAAAATTTATCTTTAGGTGATCTTAGCACCAAACGTTTACTTTGGAACGTCGAAAATGATCTTGCATAACAGAACCAAAACGCTTCGGAGCCTGTTTCAAAAATACATAAAACTGTTAAATCAAAATCTCTCCGAATTAGTTTTACAACGAATGCTATACATAATGATACTAGTTTTCTGAAAAAACTATTAAATAGTTCCATGGCTGGACTCCACCCTGCAGGCCGCGTCACAAAGCCTGCCATAATTTTCCCCGCTAACATTTACCAATACGACATATATATCCTGTGAACTACTATGTACAATGCATTCGTCGGTTTTATCTGCGTCCATGTTCCGGCGAAATTCATAAAAACTCATAAAAACTTTTAATCTCGTCGCCAGATGCGTGTTTTCCAGTCACAGATTAACGTTGGTTTTCCTAGACTGGGATTCTCGGAAATCCACGCGGTCTGCAGGCTGGAGTCCAACACTGAAACTATTCAATTGTTTTTCAGATATCTAGTATCATTATGTATAACAATCGTTGTGAAAATAAATCGGAGAGATTTCGATTTGACAGTTTTTACGTATTTTTGAAACAGGTTTCAAAATGTGTTGGTTCTGTTATGCAAGATCATTTTCGACGTTCCAAAGTAAAAGTTCGGTGCTAAGACCACCTAAAGATAAATTTGAAATGTTCCTATTATTAATTAGAACAGGTTTCGCTTTAATTTTTATATTTTACGTTGCCATTTTATTGCTTTAAATCTTCCTAGAGCAAAAACGGTAAATTTCACCTTTTGACCTCCAGGGTCACTAAGACTAAAGGTGAATTTAGCAAGTTTACATTTTTATTGAAAGTGTGATTACTTTCGATCATTTTCACCTTCTTTTCATAATACAAGAATGACTGCGCATTCACTTTCAGTGCGAATGAACTCATTTGACCTTTGACCCCGAATATCTCGAAAACGCCCCAACGGCGGACTGATTACCACTCGCCATCATATTCTACGCAAAATTTTACTCTAGAAAAGTTGGGTCTGGTTTTGTGCCCATTTGATGGACCCCCCCCCCCCCCCCAACGCTGAGCTTCCGGTCTAATATACTAGATTTGAGCATATTTGAATACAATTTATGCTCAGAAAGGGAACAAATTAAAATATGTATCAGTAGTTGATTAATGATTAGTTAATAATATATCTTAATTTATTTGAACAGAGACTATTAGCTACCACATTTAATACATGCAGATTAGCTGAGGTCGGTAAAAAGGTCAAGTAAGTATATTCTAAAGTTAAATTATTTATCCACTGTTTTATCAAATACTGGAATTCTGTAATTAATTCTTTCTTCAAAGAATTTTATTCAAAACTTAACTTCATAATTTCATTCTTTAATGCCATTTTTTATTTCTTTTAGGAAAAATTGGAGTTCTTCATATTTAGTGTTAAAACATTCAAATCTGGTGTTTTATAAAGATGAGAAAGCTGCTACCCAGAAACAACCTGGTTCACCTCATGGTAAAACAGATCAAGTTGTTAGTCTAAAGGGTGCTACCATTCAACTTAATCCCAAAATATTAACCAGCAAGAAAAATGTTTTATTGGTAAGTTAAACTTCATGGGCTCTCTAGTGAATATATTAAATTTGTATCTACCTACATCAGTGTAAAGAGATTATCTACATTTCGTCGGTGAAGTGTCAAAAGGGTGTAACTCGGGAAATTAGTCAAATACGCTTTTTTGCATTTTTAAAATCTCCTAATTAATATGCACATTTCTTTCCAAGCCATGTATCTCTATGCCAATTAGAACTATTCTGGGTATCATGTGTCCAAATGTTGTGTCTTGATTTGTGGAAACTTTGAAATGCAAAAAGTTCTATTTCTTAATCTTTAGAAACTCTTAGATACACCCTTTTGACACTTCACCGACGATTTATTGTTATTATCTTCTAATGCTGTATTTGTTACTCATTATTCAAATGGAATATGTGATATCCCCAGTAGGAAAAGGCATTTACTTCCAACTAGTATTTCCTTCAGGAGAATGCTGGCTTCTAGAGTATCTGTCATACATGTTGACAAGTATGATAAAACTGATGGTGAATTATGATACTTTTTGTATTTAACTGTTTAGTTGGCGTAAAAAAACATTTGTGATGAGAAATTGCTATGTGGCTATTGTGAGTCTTTTCCTATACAGATTGTCACTGACAATATATAGTTGACATGTACATTTGGTTCACAGAAAAATTAGATGATTGATAATTTTTGATTTGCCATGATTTGACTGTACATGGGAGCATTGGGTTGATCTGGAATATGATATTATATATAGAATTATTTACATTTATTTTCATGTTGAAGATTCTAATGCCTTTGTTTGTTTTCTAGTTAACAACATCAAATGGTAGTAAATATTTACTACAGTCAGATGAAGAAACAGTATTAAAATGGATAGCAGAATTAACTTTAGCTGCTGGAGGTACTAATGTAAGTAGAAAATCATGAATTATTTTGTTTGCGCCATTCTCAATACTAATGCATTATAACTGATTTTATAGTGTCTGGTTGTCATTTAAGGGATTTTGAATCCTTTGTACAATATAATTGAATCCCTGAAAGGCATATTGGTCCAGCACCTTCCGTAAGTGTGGTGTAAAATCTCTTTAATCCAATTTAATCCAAGCCAGGAGATAATCTATCATTGATATTGTGGTTTTGCTTTTGAACTCAAGTGTTAAATTATTATAATCAATTTATATGTTTCAATCTGCTTCTAAACTTTATACTGAGATTTTCTTTGTAATAGTTTAATAAAGTATGACTTTAGTTGAGTGAGAGCTGTGCACAGACAAAACTACATATAGTTGATTGACATTGAAGGTACATTGAAATTCAACTGATGTTTTTAAATTCATTTTAGGAAAACACTAGTCATGCTCAGAGAGAAGAAAAGAAGGGTATGTTTTTATGTTCATATTATAAATCAATGACTTTACTAATCCTATTATTATTATTAACAATTTATAATAAATATATCATACATTTTTTACATGTATTTATCTTTATATATTTGATTAATAGATCTAACAGTTTTTTTAAACAGAAAATGCTAACAAATAAATAAATTGAAAGCAGCTGACTGTCATTTGCATTTTCAGACAATATTTCATTTCTCCCGCCTTAATTCATGCTAAATGTACTCAGATGTATTTTATTTACAACTGATTTTAACAAACATTACTTAATGGTGGTATGATAAGTGTCAGTTATTCATGCATGTTTCTTTACTAACAGTTAAGCAGATAGTAGTACATGTATTCTATATTTATTTTACACATTAGGACAACCGTGATAGGATTAATAAAGAATTATTATTTGTTATGGATGGTACCTACATTTTGACAATAAATTGAATTGTTTAACCCTAAATGGTTATTTTCAATAAAAAGCAATTCATGTTACACAAGGATCTCATAGTCGTGTTTCCTATATAAAGTGGGTGTCGGCATCTTGTGTATTCACTATTACATCGGTGTAGTCATTGGACCAAACATCAGTGTTATAGAAAAGACCTTGTATTTGTATGTTTTTATACGCCCACATGGAAATATGGTCGTATATTGCCGTCGCCTCCGTCTGTGCGACGGTCCATCAGTCTGCCATCCACAATTTCTTGTGAACATTCTACAGACCACATTTATCTTCTGATTGTTTTGAAATGGATATATGTTTACATTATTGAAATGAAGTAGCCTATGGCTATTTATTTTCAGTAATTTCCGTTAACTTTTTCTGGTGTTACAGCACTTGTTTAATTTTTTTGAACCTTGTGAATGCTCTAATGACAAGTTATTCTCCAATCTCTATGAAATTGATATGCAGCATGAAATGAAGAAGCCTATTGAATTTCAGCAATTTCCATTAATTACTTCTAGAGGTTATGCCCCTTGTTTCACTTTGTTGCACCTTGTGAACACTCTAAAGACAAAAGTTATCATCAGATCTGTAACAAATTTATATGCATCACTTACTTTAGTGAAACGAAGAATCCTATTGAATTTCAGCAAATTCCATTACATCTAGGGTTATGGCCCTTGTTTTACTTTGTTCAACCCTATAAACGCCTGAAGGATAAATGTTATCATCCGATCTGTATAAAATTTATATGCATTATTTAAATTAGTATAATGAAATTTCTACAATTTCTGCAAGTTACTTCCAGAGTTAAGGCCCTTTTTCAGTTTGCAGAACCCTGTGAACCCTGAAATGACAAAAATTATAATCTGATCTTTATGAAATTGTCTTGTAAATAAATGCCCCCTCCCCACCATTACCTACAGACAAATAAATATGCGACAACCTTTGTCGATCGTTTGGACAATTTAGCTGCTGTGGGCGTATGTTTTGTTGTCTGGCAACCTATTTTATTGATTCATGTGGGATTATGTAGGAATGCCAAGAAGTTTATCAGAAGATGGCAGTACTGCACGTAATATATGGAACATAAAAACTAAGTTATTGAGTTTAATGAGAACGAGACCAGCACAAGAAGATTTAGTCAAACGGGGCATTATTAAAGGTGAAATACGCATGTTAATATCATAGTAGCTTACATATAGCATTTTGTTAAGTAGGACATAGTTACTCAAAGGTAAAATAAAGTCGCGACTTACCTAGATTTAAAAAATTTGATCAAAAATTTATAGCATTGTTTTATGGTGATTCGTTCAATATGTGACACGCTTTCGCTTTGTCTCTTCCCTCTCCGGCCACTTGTTCGACTTCAGTTTGTGGCATTGTTTTTCTTTTGAGTGTAATATATTCTGAATAGTTATAGGTAAATATTTGAATTAGATGAAAGTGTATATGTAGGCACTATTTTATTAGACCAATACTAACTTTTATTTTTAAATCTTAATTTGTATTTTTTTTCATTTTATATAGCTTTCATGTTTTTTTTTTAACCATTTTCTTTTTGTTTCAATTTGATAATTGTATTCACATGTTTATTAGTAAATTTTGAAATTCGGCATAATTAAAATGGTAGAAAAGTCCTTTGAATCTTTTATCTCGTGAATTCTCCAAAATAAATATAAATCATTTTTAAGTTCATTGTATTTTCCAAATACACAGATGTTGTACATACCATATCTATCGGCAGATTTCATATTCTGTTTATGGCTAATTTTGATTCAATGGATTATGTCATAATAAGATATGTTTTATAATATGTTACAGATTCAGTATTTGGATCAAGGTTAAAAGATTTATGTGAAAAGGAACATGCTAAGGTACCTAAATTTGTCTGTCTTTGTGTAGCAGCTGTAGAAAAGAGAGGTAAGTAGTCTTTGATTTACTTATGAAGATGGTGTCCCACAAGGGTCTAATTTTTGTAAAATTATTTTTGTATTTTGATGACAATTATCTGATTGTAACTATTTTTGTGTATGATTGAAGGTATGCTAAATCTTTCCAGAACACCTGTTTTTTTATCCTGTGAGTTCACACGACTAACATATTATTTTGAGTGGTGGTAGTAAAATGTCTTAAAAGAGATTATACAATTGATATTTTTGTAAACAGGGTTAGATCATGATGGTATATATAGAGTTAGTGGTAATCTAGCAGAAATACAAAGATTGCGATATGTTGTAGATAAAGGTAAATAAACATCATCTTCATTCTAGATTATTTTACTGAATATTCATATAATTAATCACCATGATGCATCTACTATTTTACTTTCTCGGTGAGTAAGATGCGGGCTTGCTAGCCCGGAGGTCCTCTGTTCACTCCTGGTTTTGGCTGAGAAATTTCCTCTTGTTTATACATTGGCGTGCTCGTGAAAGAACCCTTTTCAGTTTAAAAAAAGAGTAGTTACGGTAGTAGCACCACTGTCCGGGGAAAATTTCCTTCATAGCACACTGTATGTTGTGTGTCTGTCTCCATTAGCCCAGTTGGAGCAGAAAAGTAGTTAAACCCCATTTCATTTCTCCAGCACTTACCAATGACAGTTCTTCAGGGGTGTCAGGTGATTTGTTGATTTGTCAATGAAGGATTAAATACATTTAACTAAGCAGAATTTATCCGATCATATCCCAGTACAGGTTTTATCTATACAAGTATAATTTTCGATCCCAAAACATATAAAATCCATTGACAATTTTATTTTTAGCCCAAATTAAAGAGGTACTGGTCCTTTTAATTTAAAAATGATAAATTAAATCCACAGACTGTATTTGAATTGTGGTATAATCTTATTGTTACAGAGGAGTCATATAATCTAGATGATAAACAATGGGATATGAACGTATTAACTGGAGCTTTGAAATTATTTTTTCGTGAATTAAAAGAACCTCTTATTCCATTTGACATGTTTGATATGTTTGCTGCAGCAGTTCGTAAGTATTTATTTTGTTTGCAAGCGATTTAAAGTTCCTTTAATGTCAATACAGGGTATTAAGTTAAAGGAGCTTCTTAGAAAACAGGGTAAAATTTAATATAACCAGGATTTCCTTCTAATATTTTCAGAATTTTTAAAAAATTACTTAAAGTAGATAGGTCTCTAACTCAATATCATCCAAAGTCTTCAACATTAAAAACACAAATTATTTGTCAGTTTAAATCAACATTGATGTTGTGATCTTACCGGGAAAAGATGGGCTTCTGATATCCAATATTTAAGACAAAATAAACATTTTACCATTTTGTGTACCAGCACCATTTTATAACAAGGGACTCGAAGAATGAGACAGACATGTTCCACAAGTCATGTCAAACGGTAACGCCATATTCTTATCTGGAGAGCATGCACAATAAATGCTATCAGTGTAGACTGGAATAACCAGACGCTAGAGATTGCCATTCGATTGAGCCTTCTGGCGTATTTCGCCTTACATAAATAATTCGTCGAAATTACAGTAAAAACAGTAATGACTGAATGTAAATCAATTTATATTATACATTCATATTACATTATTGTATGCGTTGTGACCCATTTGTGTCAATTTCTAGGGCCCAAATATTAGCGATTTAGCTCCTTTAATTAAATGATTTTAGTCTACAGATAAAGAAGATTATTTCCTCTTTTCATAGATTATTTATGAGCAGCCACTTTGTGGAATTTCAGTGCCATAAGATTTTTATTTTTATTAGTATAATCTTTAGGTGATCTTTAGCGATTGATCAGAAACACAATCTGCTTAAATTTCGTTTCGTTTTTATAGTTCAAAATTTTGATTTTACTTGTCTTTACTACACTTGAACCTGGAAGCGTTGTTATTTAACTCATGTTCTGCTTGAAGTGAGGGGTCAGCCAATCAAATGGTCTGTTGAATCGAGCGTTTGATCTTTTTTGTGCGGAACTGTGGGTAGACATTAGCGGCAATAGAAATCAAAACAAAGCAAAAGTAGATTAAAAAATACATGGCGGTTGCTAATTGGTTAATCGAATGACTGATGTAATCGAGTCAAATGTCGCTTGCTTGGTACCTGACGTCATATAACGTGAACTCCCACTATAACTTGTTAGATCTACATGTAGTGTAGGCCATCGAAAGTATAAAAAACGAAACGAAATATAGATCTATATTTTAATTAGATTGTCAGAAACACAGAACACAATTCTTATGGGAAACAATCTTTGTGCTTGATAAACAATAAGAGGGTACTTGTCGAAACATCAGGTTAATAAAAAAAACAGTGATTGTTTCCAATAAAAATTATGTTCTGTTGATGTTAATATTAGGTCTACAAATAAATTAAGTGACAATATTTTAATTTATATTTATTTTATTTATTTTTGTAGAAAAAGAATCTTATACTGAAAAATTTAAGTTTATGAAGGAATTATTACCTGAATTACCCAGATGTAATTATGAGACCATGAAATTTTTATTTCAACATTTAATACTGTAAGTAAATATACATTGTTTTCATTATAACGAACTATCTTTAAAAGTTGCACAGGGGGTTTGGTTGGCCGAATGGTTAGCACATGCGCGCTGTATCATAAGGTCTGTCATTGAGTCAACTGGCATGGTTTCAATTCCACGGTTTTACGTGACAAGGAGTAAGGTCGCCTGTCCAATCTCGTGGGTTTTCTCCGGGTCCTCCAATTTCCTCCCACAGCTAAGACCCCCATGCGCAAGCAAAGTATTGAAATACAATTCAACCATATGTTAGTCCCGAAATGAACTAGTTTGTGTCAAGTGGACCTTAAACTCCATTTCTCTCTCTCTCTCTTGAAAATTGCACTATATAAGTGTGACTTACTTGTCTGACATGGTCTTCGGATCCATTCACTTTATCTAATATACACGTTTATAGTTTGAAATGTCAGTGGGTTTGTCTTATGGAAATTATTAATTTCTGTACTTCAGTTTCCATAGAAAGATTTTGCCGCCCTGATATTAATTTGTGTATTTTCATTTTCCTTGGATTGGCTATAAATTAGGGTTTCCGATTGCGTAAATCTTTAAAAGATGTATTTTTATTATACATTTAATGTGGACACCCCTGTCTATCTGTTAGTTCACTGATTTTAATGTTGCTCTGTATCCTTGAGATCTTGGTTGACTCGCATTCAATTCATGAATTATTCGCCGAATTGTTGCCCTTGACATTGCAAAATATTTAACTAATATCTTGTTAATGCTTTGGATTCTACATATTTCATTTGATTTATTGGTATGTAGATTCATATCATTGAGATTAAGGAGAGTCAGAAATTGAATGAACTTCCTTGAATTATTTGTGGAGTAATAACCCTTGACTTAGTGAAAATGTGTCAAGAATAGGTTGTGAGTGCATTAGAGTCATGGATTGATTTTTTTTTTCAGTGTAACAAAAGAAAGTCAAAAGAATCGAATGCAGATTCATAATCTTGCCATTGTGTTTGGACCAACATTGTCATGGAAAAATGATGCAGATGCCCAGAATTTAGCAGTTCTGACAGTTTTTCAAAGTCGTATTGTAGAATTTATGTTACTAGAATTTGATAAATTATTTAAATAGCCTTGTTAAGTATTGTCCCTCCTTCCCCTCAAATCCCTTATCTCCCCCTTCTCCTTACAGATTATCTTCAGGTCACCACTTGTTAGTGTGATATATATATATATATTTTTTAAAGCTAGATATTTGAGATATTGAATTGGAATCTTTATATTTCACTCTTTGTATTTTAGAAACCAGGTAGTTAAAGGTATTCTTGATTATAATAATAAACATAAAATTTATTGTTATGGTCCTAAGATATATCTAAAACAATAATTTGTTATATAAGAATTAAGTATGTGTTTTGATAGATAATATGAGTATGATTTGCCCATTATTTTGAGCAGTATTTAGAGAAAAGAAAATATTTTTCAAATATTTTGTTTATAAGATTGAATGTGTGACTGTCAAGGACGGATCCAGAGGCCATGGATAGGGAAACCGCACACTGTGAGTGCCGGAGGCACAAAGCACACAACGGGGGATCCTGGTGGCCTCCACCGGAATATTTCGAAAACTAGGAGCCTGGAAATGCCATTCCCAGTGAGACAAGAATCCGGTTCTAAAATAATGAATTTTAATGGGACTTTTTCAGTCAGAAATCCAGATCCGCCCTTGACTGTGATTTTACGACCATATTGGTCACTGTTACTTTAAATGTCTAAAATCTTATATTAAAATCTCAGTGCACCAGAAAGCTACCTGTCAGTTTCCTTATTTAAATTTAACAAATATAAGGGCTGCAATGTGTTGTTTACATTGTAATTTAGACAATAAGATCGATAAACCTAGGTTAGATATCATCTTGACCTCCAGGTTACAGATAGAAATGATTATTCTTCGATATTTGTGGCTTGTTAAATTCTGAATCAATGTATCATGATGTCATTGATGCATTTTGATAAGACTACTTTAAATGCATCTGATCTGAACGTCTATATTTGCTAAATGTACCTTTAATGAAATATTATAAGTTAGATTTGAGTATACAGTTCAGCCGTGGATTAAAAATGAATACCAAATATTGAATTTCTAAAATATTGATGTTTAGAAACATGAATCTTGAAAATTTTGGAATAGGACTTTTGTTTGAAAAAGGGTGTACAACACTAAGAATATTAATTAACATGTATACCTACTATATAAACTAGAATGATTATTAGGTAGTTATATTATACTATCTCTAGTTGTATTCTTCAAATATATTGTCTTTTTTACAAACTCATAGCTACTCATTGCTTTTTGAACCAAGAACTTGGTAATCTTCTTCTTGTTCTTCTTCTTATTGTGCATCCAAGATGGCTGCGATTACATCATGGTCCAGTCAAAAGAGAAATTAGTAGCTCCTGGCCCCGTGTTCACAAACCATTCTCAGACTTAAGTTAAGAATTTACTCAACTTTTAATCACTGTTTATGAGAAATATCTTTGATACAGAAACACAAAACTTTTCTTAGTTTCTTATTAATTTATTTGATACATTAAAACAAACAAAGTTTGATAAAGGACTACATTTTAGTTAATATAAGACAAACAATTTTGAGTAAATTCTTAACTTAAGTCTGAGAATGCTTTGTGAACTCGAGATCAGATATGATGAGTGAATGAGTAAGGTAATATAGATTAAGGGAATACAGTTGTTAATAACGGTCACATTACAGGTGACAATATTATTTTGTTTATTAGTGTGAGTATAAAACTTATATATATATATGCTTCCCTAATTCTTGTAAACCCATTGTTTTTTTTTTAAAACACAGCATCAATTGTTCCCTTATTTTAAATCAAATTTGGAACTCTTGAGTTAAATGTTTAATAGAGAAACAATAGGATTGTGAGAATGTGCTTCCATATTGTTGGTATAAATGATGAGGATTAGTTTGTGTATAAATTACGTAGCTGAAGCGTTATCATTTGTTAATAAATCATGCCCTATACTACTGCTATCTGATTAAAATCCCTTGCCAATTATTTTTTTTAAAATCTTATACTAAGTTATTATCTGACATTTATTTTTTTTTTTTTTTTTGGAAACAGTGTTCAGATCATGTGATCTTCTTGACCAAATCATTTGTCTGTATTGGTATACAGGGCTGTGATTTGTGGTGAATTTTAAAACCTAAGCTTGTAAATCTGATGGTGTTTGGTTTATAGTATGACGTGGTTAGTATAAATAGAACTGTCACAGGTAAAACACAGATATAATAGAAAGTATGTTAGATTAAAATGTAGTGTAAAAAAATGAAACAAAATACTTAAATACAAATCTTATATAAATGTTATTGTATGATTGACTGGGTTATATACAACAATTAGTTATGTAATACAACTGGGTTACATAACACACCTAGTTACATTATATATCGTAACTGATTATGTTATATAACACACCTAGTTACATTATATATTGTAACTGATTATGTTATATAACATACCTAGTTACATTATATATCGTAACTGATTATGTTATATAACACACCTGGTTACATTTTATACCATAACTGATTATGTTATATAACACACCTAGTTACATTATATATCGTAACTGATTATGTTATATAACACACCTGGTAACATTTTATACCATAACTGATTATGTTATATAACACACCTAGTTACATTATATATTGTAACTGGTTATATGTTATATAACACACCTAGTTACATTTTATATTATAACTGATTATGTTATATAACACACCTGGTTACATTTTATACCATAACTGATTATGTTATATAACACACCTAGTTACATTATATATTGTAACTGATTATATGTTATATAACACACCTAGTTACATTTTATATTATAACTGATTATGTTATATAACACACCTAGTTACATTATATACCATTACTGTTTATTTTATTTACCATAGCTAATATTATATGTTTTATAACATACCTAGATACCATAACTAATTATGTATTATACTCTGCAGCTGCTAATTATATATTAAGACTAGTTATGTTTGTTTATGTATTAATCCACAATCATGCTTTCTGAAAATAACTTTAAAAAAGTAGATGTATAATGTTGCTTTAAGAATGACAATAACTAAGTTATAACAGTAAAATAAATTATTAACTTTGACCTACTTTTTCAAAGTATGTTAGTTACCCCTTAGGTTTTCCAGTATTGGCAGTATAAGTTTTTTCAAAATGCCAGGGAATGCTCAAATGAAGGGGAATAACTGTTCAATATTAAACTAGGTCTAGGATATTACTAGTCAAAGAAATTTTTTTTTAATTCTATGATTATTACAAATAGAAATAAAGATTCAGAGGTTTTCCTGAAATTTCAGAATGATTATCATATGAATAGACAATATTTAATACAAATTTAATAGAAGATATTATAATTCACTGTGCTACATATAGTAGAAACAAAATGTCTTGATTACCAATATATTCCGTCTTGATATTATCAATATCCATAATATAGCATTACTACTAGTGGTTCAGTATATTTCAGTATCATTAGGAGATGAGTCTCTCTACTGTACTTTTCATTAAAATTCCAACATGCCAGAATAAAAGTTAAATCAATCAAACATACTTTTCTTTAAAAAATACTTCTGGTCCAAACATGATTCATATCAATAAATGATAACTTTAATAAATTATGACCATTTAATGTTTACATTGATTGACGTAATTCTTTTTATCTTTTTGGTACAAGCCAGCCAATACATCAATTCATAATGGTATTTTTTATACATGGATGTGCTTATTTATATAATTAAATATGTACCATAGTCTGTAAAATAAATCATATTTTTGTTATTTATTAGATAAATAGCTGATATCAAACTGTTTGTGAATAGGATCATGCAGGCACCTGAAACTATTGAACTGCAAATAAACCATTAATAATAATGATATGTTACTTGATTAAGACCAAGATGGCATTATCTCCCATTAGCTACAACCTCCCAATTTAATAAATGCCAAAAGTAACACCCATGCTCAATTGTGATTAGTTAATTAAACCCACTATAATTTAAATGATGATTTGTTATATATTATAATGATGCACAGCTTGGTAAACCCTGTTAATCTATTCCTGGCTGATGTTAGCCTCACTTCCCATTGCTCAATGCTGAGTCTAATATACTAGTATTGTAATTATTCAAAACAATATCAAGATTGATTTCTTGTTCTGTGGTGTATTTCTTTCTAAGCTTGAATGTTTATCAAACTATTGGCCATTGAAAAGGAACCTGACTCTAATAGCAATGACATTTTGTACACCTACATATTAATGTGGTCATATATATTTATATACCGGTATATCTTTGTATTCTCTTCGTCGGGTAAACATCTTTATTTTCGATTCAATATTGTCTTTGTGCTTAACTAAATATAGAAAAGAAATTCCAAATGTTTATTGATTATTCCATGTGTTTTTGCCTTGAACAATTATCACTGAAACTTTGTCTAATGTTTTAGGGGTTTTTCTGGGGGGCTGTTTAAATGAAACATTCTTGAAATTGGGATATTTTTCGTGTAGGATAGTTTGGGGCTTTTTTTTTTTAGAGTTTACATTTGGTCAGGTTAAATGCTGGTGGGTATATGTATGTATTGTTTCCCGGCAACTAGTCTTTCTAATTGTTGTTAATGGATGTATGTATGTTAATTTCCTTCTCGAGGACTGGATGAAACTGATACCAAGTTGTTATTGCTTCTTTGTTAAAATTATATGATATGGTATATTATAGATTATATTAATCCCCAATACAGATAGATTATTTTATTTTACACATTTTTGTAATTCAGAATTCTGAAATTTCATAATCCATGTAATCTAATAAAATTTGGAGGACTTTCAGAATCTGTTCACTGATAACTAAACCTCATATAAACCCTGCCCCTTGTTTATTGTATTATGTTACACAATACACAGATAACACCAGATAGATTCTTGTATCCAGCCCAATATTCTTCATGTCATAAATTCTAAGTTTATGTGATATACAGTTTTGTAGACAGTATGTAAAATTTTCACATATTGTATCTAAAGAGTTGGTTAAACTTTGTGATTTTTATCTTTCGTTTTGGGTGATAAATGCCATTTCAAACCGTTTTCAAAAGGTTTTTTTTTTTATCTTGCATTTAATCATTTTCCTTTTGGGATTTTAAAGAAGACTTGATTTATTTTCCTTCCAAATTTGCCATGCCATTAATTGCAGATTGAAAAACAGTTTTTTCTTTTATTAGAGAATTGGTAAGAAAAAAATCTGATATTTTGAGTTACAAAATTTGTGAAATATAAAGAATAATTATTGTTATTTACCTATATATGTATTATATAAGTATATATTATCAAGTGATATATTAATTATTATTATCCCTACAAGATAAACGTGTTCATCTTTTTGTTATTACATCATCCTACTCATATTAAATATATTAAAGAAGATTTTAATTGTATATATTCCTGATTGACAGTGGTAAATCACCAACTGTTATATTGCCTAATAAATTCTGAAATAAAAATTCTTGTTTTTATACGCCCTGTCTGTCTGTAATTCCATGTGTCGGTTCACATTTTGTTTGTGGACACTCTACAGGTCATAATTTTTTATTTGATTTTAAAAACTGTTGAAATATATAAACGCTACACCGTAATAATGGTTGAGTTCTGATTACATGAAAATCTGACTGAAACTGTCTGACAAAATGGCCGTCCCCTGTACGTAAATAGTGCAAAAGTATGTAATACCAAGGTTGTGGGCCCTTAGAAGTCACAATTTTCTTTTGATTATGATGAAACTTGCAATGCATGTTTATAACCCAAAAATCTCAGTTCCTTTCGATATTCACGCATATCGAATCGTAACTTCCTGAATTATGGCCCCTGATTGTACGAAAAAATCACGTTTTTAGCTTGTGGTCCCTCTAGAGGTCACAATTATTATCCGATTTAAAAAAAAAAATTCGATTATATCACCGTTGCACCCTAATTTTGGTTGAGTTCTTGAAAATCGGACCAAACCATTAAGTCGTGTTTGCAGTGTCGAAGACTGGATGATACTGAAATCAATACTTGAGAGTCATATATATTTTAATACTTGCATGAGAGTCCTGTATATTTTAATACCTGAGAGTCACATAATTATATTTTAATATACTATTCAAAAAAAGTAGGGGATATTTGATTTTGGGGGCATAATACTAAAATATGCAAGTGACTACGAAAAAAGTCACTATAGAACCTAACGGAAGAAACATTTCCAGTTAAATGTGACGCCCAAACGCACCAATAGCTACCGCATGGAATGCAGGTGATGCTTGGGATCATCATGGGGGTCCAACCCAAGATTTGCACGACTCTGACTTTGAATGTTACAGTCATTGTGGCATTGAATTCCAGGGTGGAAACGTCAGTTTAATTGTTTTAGTGACCAGAAAACAAATTTTGATATGCGTCGGCTTACCCAAAATGAAAGGTTACGTGCCCTTGGCATGCTACAGATCGGCACAACACAGGCGGTTGTGGCGCGGACGATGAATGTTTCTCAGTCTGTCATAAGCAGGCTATGGTCCAGATACCGTGATACACAATCTGTACAGGACAGACCACGCTCAGGTCGACCAAGGGCGACAACTCAAGCCCAGGATCGATTTATCCGTACCTTGGCCTTGAGAAATCGTGTCATCACAGCAAATCAGATCACCGCTCGTCTTCAAACAGACACTGGTGTGAGAGTGAGTGGCCAGACGATTCGGAATCGACTGCATAGGGGTCACCTTCGCGCCCGACGTCCTCGCGTGATCCCTTGTTTGAGAGATCATCACATTCAGGCAAGACGTCGTTGGTGTAGGGATCGTCAACACTGGGATAATCGACGCTGGAGCAATGTAATGTTTTTAGATGAGTCAAGGTTCACTGTTGATTTTTTGGACAGACGTAGGAGGGTGTGGCGTCGTCGAAACGAGCGCTTCCAAGACGTTAACGTCATCAGACATGATCGATTTGGGGGTGGTTCTGTTATGGTGTGGGGAGGCATCACTGTTACTGGAAGAACGGCTTTACATGTTGTTGCAGGGCGTGTTACAGGCCAGTACTACCGGAACAACATCTTGGCAGTCCATGTTGTGCCGTTCGCACGACGTCATGGCCGCCGTTTCATCTTCCAGGATGACAACGCAAGATGTCACAGGGCCAGGATCGTTACAGGTTACCTCCAACAACAGAACATCACCACATTACCTTGGCCAGCACTGAGTCCCGACCTCTCCCCCATCGAGCATGTCTGGGACATGCTTGGACAGAGGTTACGTCAACGTCAACAACGTCCTGCCAATGTCCAAGAACTTGCTGCTGCGTTGCAACAGGAATGGGACAATCTGGACCAAAATGACCTTAGGAGTATGCCACGTCGGATCAATGCTTGTTTGGCAAACAGAGGAGGATTTAACCGTTACTGACTTGGTTGTGATGCTGTGGTAACTTTGCTGTTTGACCCCGGGTATCATTTTACCCTTATAATGGTCAGTCTGTGCCTTACTTAGTCTAACGATCATTTGGAATAAATCGATGAATGTGAACTTCATTTCATTTTGTCATTTGTTTCTTCATCAGTTTCATTAGGTGACTTTAATAACACTTAAAAATCAAATATCCCCTACTTTTTTTGAATAGTATAGATTTCTAACACTGCTTATATTTGTGTTACTTGGTTCACTTATAATATCAACAATCGACATAGGCTCCATTGTCACCCAAACATCTCGCCACCTGTTATGGTCTGTATTTATTTTACAGACAAATAAGTTCTGATTAGTTTGATTTAAATAGGAATTTAGAAAACTAAAGAATGATAGAGTACCTTCATGTCGAATTTTAGCTAATATAGACCTATTTTCAAACCAATACAAATGTATAAAGATGGTGGCGGTAAATCGATAGAAACTAATTAAAACTCCAAATAGTCATAAATTACGTCTGGATTGATCAATTTGTAGTTACTGGTTCAACATAATCGACTCTATATCTAACATGTGCCATTAAAATGTAAATAATGGTATTACGTGTATAATATGATATAAATGATTTTTTAAACCGGTATAGAAAATAATAACATTATCTGTGAAGTTCTGACATGTACACGTAATACATTTATACCCCTAGGACATCCACGTCCCGAAAACATCTTATCCTCGGGCATTCAACAGAATTACCATAGATTGCATTGCAGTTTGTGAAACAGTTACATAAATGTTTTTACTTGTCGAATATTCAGCCAAGAACAAACTTTATAAATTTGTTTCTTAAAAAAGCTCATTGCTTACATTGCAAACTGTACCAAAATACACGTGTTAACAAAATTTGGAAGTTAAAAGAAAACTGTCTAGTTTGTAAAACTGCAAAATGGCGACTTAATATGAACTTGATGGAATATTGAGTTTTACACCAGTACACGGGTCAAACAATTATGAAACTTTGCCCCCCCCCCCCAACCGGTATTGTATGTACAATATTTCTACGTGATCTACGCATATCTTGAATACATTATTTCACAATATTAGTACCGAAGCATTCAAAACTCCGCCAATTGCAATGATTAAAAATACACCTAGCGCTGACACTTACGCAATGTTTAATCAAAACCCCTTATAAAAAAAACCCTGTGATAATACTGATTTCACGAATTGGTTACTGTCAAATTTATAAACAGTGGAAATTTAGACTAAGTACAAAGCATCATCAATGGCAAAAACATTATTGTAACTGCAGTGTCAAAATCTTAGATACACGTATACATCTTTAATATATCTATAAGAAAAGTATACAAAGTTTCAAGGCAATCCATCAAAACTGTAAGACTTGATTTCACAAATTCTATTACCATATAAATGGCAAAGAATAAATGAAACAGCTCCAAAATCGGTGGTGCAGCCATGCAAAGTTTCAAGACAATCCACAAAAAATCTGTTATACGTTCAATACATCATAAAATGCAAAATGATTATGAATCAGTAGAAACTGGGCTATGTACGTCATGTTTAACAACTATACACGACAATCCACGAAAAACTGGATGCTTCGTTATCCCATTTACAAACAGTCCCCCCCCCCCCCATGTGTGACGCCCATGTCTGCAGTGTTTGATAGGTTAACCATTATACTCTCCTGCTTAGTCTGGAATCCTAGTTCGGTGTGTCTGGAAATGATTTGCCACTGTTGGTGTTGTATGTTAACGGTCGTTCGCAAAGCGTTATCATCAATAATGTATAATCTGCTTCCTCGTCCTTGGCTTCAGGGGTCCCCCAAGGATCCCTTCTGGGAATTTATACCAAACCCCTCGGTCACATGGTCAGAAAACATGGATTATCATTTTATGCTGACGACACTCAGCTGTTGTTTTTTTTTTTACACAAAACAAAACTACGGACAAGACACAATACGCAGAAATCACAAACAAACGTACATATTAAATGAATGGATCTGTGGGCTAGCCGTAAGCGTCCACTGTGTTGTACAGTCTCGGGCCTGTAGTGATACAGAATTCACGCAAATTTGAAAATAAACAATCAAGAATACAACCCAGAGAAAAACACGGTGTAATACCAGCACGAGTCTTGATCTGCTATATGCCACATAAAATATGAATGTAAGCATATTGAAGTAACCATATTGGTGAAATGTATTAAAAAAAACCCATGTAGTCTATGTTAAGTGAGAAACATTTTAATTATTCAATAGAATTGAGGTATATTGACTGTAAAGTTAGGGCAATGTTCCATTTACCACGCTCAGCATTGTACTATGGGGGGGGGGGGGATTTGCCCGGGTAGCAGCACTATGATCCCTGCTCTTTGTCGAATTCCAACTGCCAAGGGATCTTTTACGTGCACGCCAATGTATACACGGGACCTCGGTTTTTCGTCCCATCCGAACGACTAGACAGCAGGTCAGGTCATCCGTCCTGCACCACTGACAAATGGAAACCATGGTATCCAGATCTCAGTGGAATAGTGACCTGTATGACCCCATTTTTTTGAAAGCTTAAGATCAATTATCCGTTTCAATTTATAACTGTATCCTATTTTTAACAACCAGACTTTTTCAGTGTCAATTTATATTTACTTTTAACGTTTGTGACCTGTTCACTTATGCATTCGTCTTCATATTTTTTACTATTTGATCCTCGTAAAGAGAGGGGTGGGGTGGGGTTTAACGTCCACTCGCTTGCGTGTAGGGGTCTTTAGCAGTGGGGGGGGGGGCAACCGGAGGAAACCCACAGGGATGAACAAGCGAACCTATACGCCTTGTCACGTACAACCGGGGGAATCGAAACCACGTACGCTAGTTCATAGGTGACTCAATGGCAGACATTATCATACAGCGCGCACGTGCTAACCATTGGGTCACCCAATACCCCCCTCCCCCTCACCGATCGTCGTCCAAAAATTTATATACATATATATATATATATTTTTAATTGTACACCCACGTACCATGTCGAAGAAAGCAGATGTAGGCCTGCATGTATTTAGTATATATATTAATTAATTTTTATATTACTTGGCTGCAATACTATGATTAAAATATGTATGTATTGGGTGTACAAAATACATATTATGATAAAAGAGAGTTTGGTATAAATTTGGTTTATGAAAATACCGTTATAGTTAGCAAATAGATAATGTAGAAAATTAAATTTCTGTCCACAATTAATTTACGGCTGTGGCTGGATAGACATTAATGTTCTACATTTAATGGGGGCCGACATTTTAGATGGTCATGTGACAGGGATAACTGTATTGAGCAATTGTGTCATCCCAATTGCCGGGACATTGACGTGGCATGTGCAACGAGATATTCTTTTCATTGACCGCCATTTTGACTTGTTATTTGTTACAGGTATGTGTTCCATTCGTTTATTTAGACAGAAGACAATTTTTGTATAACACGAATTTTATGTTGTTAGCCTTCTGGGGTATTTTTGGGCTATTATAAGCGTTTTAGGTGTGGGTAACGGACGAGAAGACGGTAAACTATCCATATTCTATTCAGTTATTTCTTATAATAAATCTGCTTCCGCTTTGTGGAACAGTGGACCACATTCAGAAATTTGCCCAATCGATTACTCAGACTGATTTTTGTAAGCCTATTTCAAGGGTGGGGCTTCGATTTATATCATTTCATATCGTCCATTATATTTTGTACATTGTGTAAGTTTTATTCTTTTAATTTTAGGTGTTTTTCTCTCATTTTTCTGATCTGACTCAGTCAGTTAGGCTACTGTGTCAGTGATCATATTCGTCGTAGTTATTTGAGTTGACAAGGCCTAGCCTAGTACTAGTAATAGTATATAATACATGCGTCACATCTTGAACAGAAAATCTTTTAAAACGAATTCACCATCTACTTGTGTAATAACTAATAGTGTTTTTTTTTCATGAAAAAGACCCTAGAACTTCTTGTTTTCAGATCATAAAAAGATTAATTTCATTGATTTTAAGGGGTGGGATTGTTAGAGTAAACCAGTGACTTGTCTTAAAAAAAGGAAATTACAGGACTAATGTGTTTATTTATATATTTGTTAGAGAAATTGGAAACAATTCTTCATACTCTAATTTAGACCTAACGGTAAAATCTAGTTCAAGACTGCAATCTTGAATCCCATTGAAGTGAAAAATATTTTGTAAAACTCCCCCCCCCCCCCCACCCCAGTTTTTATTAGTGTTGAAACTCTGGGCATATTTTGGTATTTGGCTATCTGTCTGCACTATCCGAACATATTCAGACTTTGTGTGTAATTTAAAACTTAGTTTTGATGTTTTAAGCGCATGCAAATTCGTCTATTGTACATGTGCTAATAAACCATTAGAGATGATTTGAATTATCAGACATCCTTTTGGCAATGCAATCCACTGTTGTACGTGGCAAGGAGTAGGGTCGCCTGTCCAACCTCGTGGGTTTTCTGCGGGTCCTCTGGTTTTCTCCCACTGCTAAAGACCCCTACGCGAATTATGTAAATAATATTAAACAATATGTTAGTCTTGAAATGACCTAGTTTGTGTCGAGTGGACGTTAAACTCCATTTCTCTCTCTCTCTCTTTTGGCAATGCTAATGTTTTTAATAGCCTATATTGTCATTGTCACTAATAAGCTTAATGCAGGACGTATCAAACGATCACGCCATCGTCTTTTCTAAAACTTTATTTTATCTGAACTAATTTATTTGAAATGATCAATCCTTTTTTGGCTTTTATGTTTCGTTTTACCAACATCGAATACTGACATTGGAAAAATGGGTCGGCTTAAAAAAATCAAACTGTCGAGAGTAAAACTTTACCACAAAAGGTTTTATATAAAAAGCTGTAATAAATGGCACCATATAAAGGAAACAAACATAAACTGTTTAAACAACAAGTTTTAATTGATTACTGTCTAAAACTATCTACAGCTTTTTATTTTGTAAAATCTCGTGTAAGAGTATTAGATGGTCGACAGTGTTGGGATCCAGATTTAATCTTTAAGTGGTAACTATATTTCCCTCAGGAAAAAACGCGCGCTCTGATAGTACCAAGGTGGCTGGAACACTAAGATAAGATTTGGCCAGTCATGGCTGTCATAATTTAGCAGACGAAGTAAACAAAGACGTGTTGACTTTGCGTGAACGCGCAGAATAGCTACAGCCCTAATCATCGGCAATGTGCATGACTGGGAGCTCGCCATGCCCCATGGCATTCGTCTAATATTTAAAAGTAATAAAACAGTTGTGTAGGATAGAAAGTTTCAAGCCTTATTTGCAGGAAATTATTGCTCATTTACAACGACAAGAGGTGTCGTTTCAAAATAACACAAACAGTTATGCAGGCCTTCACGTAAAAGGAGCGCGATCGCTCTCGCTCGCCTGGATGCGCCTGGATGTCAGTCGAGGTGCGCTTTTTATAGCTCTCCTCAATGTCTAATTTGACTCCCCTCAAAGAAAATAACCAGGAAAAATATACTGGTAACGAAAAATACTGTCAATATCATATCGACAATCAACTTGCTTGTCGGCTACAATAACAGCATACCTTAGTGAGAATCCGCCATCCGTTTCATAATCCGAGTAATTAGCACATTTAACGGCAATTTTGATAATTCGGCAAAAAAACCCAACAAGCCTGCTGGTTATTCATAACAGGTCCACTAAGTTTCCTGTGTAATAATAAACCACATGGCGAAGGAAGACATCTCGCTCTGCATGGATTGTTAATCTCATGCTTCGCGCCCCATCTTCGACTCTCGATCCGTACGAATTCTAGGTAGATTTGAAAATAATAATTGGATAATGCATTTTATGGTTTCACTGACCCGTTGTTAGTTAAATTTAAATATTCATTGAATAATCCCTGATAGAACACCGGATATCCCGAGAAACAAATATTAATAACTAATATATTTTTCCACCAAGATTTTCAATGCTTTCAGATTCCCGATAACACGTGACATGCATTGGTTGGAATTAGGTCAGTAAACCAGCATTGCAAGATTTATTTTTAAATAGTGTTATAGTTTTATTCAATTTTATTTTTTACACATGCTGACAGGGATTTATTCTTAAAAATATTGCCGTTTTTATTTAAGGCCATGGCATCGTCGTACGCTATTTTATTTTATATTTAAAGCAATTTCAATCATGGGAGTCACGTGATCATTGTGTGGCTTGTCTTTCATCCACGAATGAAAAAAATATTGTAAGTTACGTGATAGACAAAAACATTAATTTGTGTTTTAAATATGAAGAAATGTCATGCTGTCGCATCAGCTTATTTTCGCCGTAGCAGATAAATCCTAATTTCGATCGACTGATGATAAACGAAGACAGTAGTCTATTCAGGAATATTACTGACTTGAACTTGTTGAAGTCAGATATTAAAGTTAACGGGAGCTTCGAATTACCCTGTTTCTTACCGGGACCTCATTTGACCCAATTCTGGCCGGTTGGTTTCGAAATGGATTAAAATCTCTGGACTTTATCACAAATGCTAACAAAGCTCTCCTCAAGAGATTCAGGAGAGCTTTCTCAGGAGAGCGATTTCCTCTTTTTCCAATTTCAGGAGAGCTTTTTTTGACTCCCCAGGAATTTATTCACGTGAAGGCCTGGTTATGCAAAAAAGCATCGGATAGCGTCGAATAGTTACGGTATTTGAATATCTGCGAGATTATATCCGTGAATGGTAGATATTCGGATACAAGTTTCAACAGGTGCCTTAAATGTCCGTTTAGGCTGACCTTAAAAATATCTTTGTTTCGCCAAACCCGACCCACAATCGAGGAGAAGGGTCGGTAGGTCGGGTTTTTTTTTTCAGATTTTTTTTTAAAGAGCTAATTTGACAGCTTGATAATTTTCTGGGGGGGAAACATTCGTCTTTTTTTATTGTCAAACAAATCAATGAGTATGACATCGGGATTTTTCGTGATGCACGACTCCGAGACTCGCACACGATTTGCCACGAATTCTAAGTGTGAAACCCCTTCAACACGTTTTTAACGATCGTGCGGGTTGTGCCTTCATTTTTCTCGAAAATGGATATTGAAAATATCTTCGTCATGTTTAAAACGACGCCCCACAGACATAGAGGCAGAATCATTTCGTGGGAATGGACGTGCTTTCGTCTGCAACCATTTTGTTGAGAAGCGACACTTATGACGCTTTCGTCTTGATCAACCAGTTTCAATGATGAATCAAACCATAGCCATAGTAAAGGGAAATAACTCTCGTGATATATTTCAGGTTGACACACAAAATAAAATAAAAAGATCGCGGAAAAGTGCAATAAAATAATTTAAGTCGGGGGTGGTTTTAGTTAGTCGGTCGCGTTAGGCGAAACAAAGATATTTTTAAGGTCAGCCTTATTGTAAAATGTAAAGAGTTTGGATTAAATAAATTATGTTTTTTTTTCTTAAATCGCAATACCGTACTACAGCTCGAACGGCAACTTTTATTGTTCAATTATTGAAGTGTGTATCTTTGTGTGGTTATCTAACTAGCTTCTAAAATCCAAACCGGGGCTTTTCCATTTTGTCTCTTTAAATGTGATCGCGACACCTTTGTGAAAAATATAGATAATAACCAAGATTGATAACAGAGTGGATTATATAAATCCTACAGGTTTCTCACAGGTTTTACTACATTATTAAGTAACAAAACATTAGCAACAAAAATGATTTTCGTGAAAATGGATTTGAAGTGTTTTGCTGATATCCAAACATCGATAGGCTAATATTTATTTGGTTTGACAGTCCCACATATCAACACCATGTAAAATGATTAAAATCGAGAAATTTCCATTTATTTCAACAGATATATAAAGTTGTATAGACATAATCATGAAAACCATATTGGTCCAACCAAACATTATTTAAATTGACCACCCGAACCTAACATTAATTTGTATTGATTGCATGTTGTCATCTATATGCCGCTTTGTGGACTTCTGTCATAATAATATATTTGATTATATTTGTTGTTATCCTGTTTATATAATATAAATTTTATAACACTTCTGTCATGTTGCTTTTTCAAAAAATAAATTCTATTGCTTTTTGTTGACCCTTTAAAATTCTCAAAAAACGCCTGAAGCATTGGAACAAGATGAAATCCGCGGGGCCTCATGCCCTTTTCTTTTTCCCTCTCTAGATGTCAACCATTAAAAGAAACATCAATATCAAACATGCTCGGAAAGAGTCAAAACTTCTAACTATACTATAAGGAAAAATTGTAGATACTTGGAGGAAGCGGGTGTGAATGTACCCATACGAATTGTATAATAAATGGTAATATATCAATGTCTGTGTTGGAAATTGATTTATCAGTTTTTATTGCCTTTACTTACATTGCTAATAATATATAAAACATAAATAATTGTAGAGTTTTAGTTCATTTCTATTACGTCTCGAAAGATCCAGATTTCTAACGGATCCGTGGCAATCAGTTTTAAAGGATAAGATGATCAAGACCCAGTTTGGAAGTTAGGCAAATCATATGGTATCGTACATCATCTTGCTCTCTTTCCAGCTACGACAGGTTCTGTTTCATTACTTTATCGAGATCGCTATGGAACATTATGCAGATAATAAAATTAGCAAATGATTGTACATGTACTGTACAATTTATTGTACTGGGGCTGGGGGGCATGCATTTACACTACAGTCTACTATGATATTTTCCATGTACATGTACATGTATGTTGTACTCTGATGTCCCCGCACTTGAAAGTAGCAGTCAATGTCATTGATCGGTGACTTTCAGCAAAAGTAACCTTATTGGTTTGATTATATTTAATGGTATCATTTTTCTAGCTTTTACATTTTATATTATTCATAATATTTTTTTTTTGTCTTTTAAGATTGGATCCATATAAAGAATAAAGATGGGGAATGTATTTGCAGCCCTCTTTAGCAAGATTTTGGGAAAGAAAGAGATGAGAATATTAATGGTGGGTCTAGATGCTGCAGGAAAAACAACTATTTTATATAAACTTAAATTGGGAGAAATAGTAACAACTATTCCAACTATAGGTAAATAGGTTCTTTCCCTTGAACAAAATGACATCCCTGTGCTATTTTTTTTTTTTTAGCATAGAACGATTAAAAAGTCCAATTGCCCCCTAAGAGAATATTTAAATCAAATTCTAGCCTCTGATACATTTTAAACAATTATCCAAGAATTCCATCCACCAATCTATTCATGCTTCATATTCCCCGATGCCGACTCAACCTAACATAAAATTGAAGATTTTCGCACAGAATATTATGCTACGGTAGATCTACCAGATCTAACAATGTAACATTAAAAAAAAAAACGACCCCCCCCCCCCCCAAAAAAAAACCCTACCCTATTTTTAATCCGTTACTCGATAACCTTGATTCTAATTGAGTAAGAGTGATTAAATATGGTGTATACATGTAGTTTCATTACATCAATACCTTGACTAAGTGCGATGAAAGTGATATTTTATATTTTTGTTTTATTGTAGGATTTAATGTAGAAACTGTAGAATATAAGAACATTAGTTTTACTGTATGGGATGTCGGAGGACAAGACAAAATCCGACCTTTATGGAGACATTATTTCCAGAATACACAAGGTATGAATATATAGAGAATCTCCTACGAGTCTTTTTTGATATCAAAAAAGATGAGTAGGAGATTTTATTTATCACCCAATCCTTTCTTACATGCACAAATAAATATAATTCTTTACTGTAGATTTCTCTTTTACTGAACCTGATTACATTACGGCGTAGTGATACATAATTTTTTGACAGCAATTCTGTTATTCAACCATTGCAAAATCCTTTATATATATATATATTGACCCAGTGTTTCTATCAAGGTCAATTGAATAACAATAGTTCATTTTAAGAAATGAGTTGTTCTTTGAAAATAAATAAAAGTAGTCCCTTTTCAACTGACCAATCAAATTCATGTAAAGGAGATATCGCATTAGATTATGAAATATATGACACAAGTGATATCTACTGTAGAATGTATTATTGGGTGATAAACATGTATTAGAATCTAATGTGTATGAATGTAAGTGACAGTGTTTGTGACCGGTGCCTAATGTCAAGGTTTTTTCTAGTTGAGACTGTAGTAGGTACAACAAAAATACATTGTCAGATGCTGTTGCTTAATTGAGGAAGCGGTCAATATTTTAAATCAAATTTCATTCCATTTTTAATTTTCAGGTTTAATATTTGTGGTAGATAGTAATGATAGAGAGAGAGTAGGAGAAGCTAAAGATGAATTACTTAGAATGTTAAGTGAGGATGAATTGAGGGACGCAGTATTGTTAATTTTTGCAAATAAACAGGTTAGTAGTAAGAGCATTGAGATGAAATCTTTCGGTCTAGCCAAAACAAAAATACCTTTATTGACGATTACCCCAACCAACTCTTTTTATACACCCACATTGAAATGTGGTCGTATATTGTCGTCGCCCCCGTATATTGTCGTTTTTTTGGGTTTTTTTAGGCCAAATCGAGGACCCTAAATTTTTTCCCTCATTTACCATGTCCTATATATAACTGTAATAACGATATTATTTAATCTTATGTATTAAGCACTAATTTCTTTCACATTCCTTTAATAACAAATCTGTTTAAAAATTTGTAAAAATTGTTTAAAATCACCAAAAATCATCTAATTTTTACTTCCGTCCAGTTTAAAGCTGACCGTTCAATTTTGATGAGTTTCCAATTTACAAGTGTTAATTTCTCGATCACTGTTAAAAAAATAAACAACCCAATTGATCATTGATGTATAATGATTTTTGGTGATTTTTAAAGATTTTTACAAATTTTTAAACAGATTTGTTATTAAAGGAATGTGAAAGAAATTAATGTTTAATACATAAGATTAAAGATACATTATGGGAGATTTGATAACGAGTTCGCAGTTCTCACTGCAATATTTAAAACTAGATAATGTAAAGGCAATTTGCTGAAAATTTCATTCAAATTGATCCACTATGAACCGAGAACTAAGCAGTTGAAATTTCGGCTAGCCTTGATCATCATTACTAAAGTCAGTACAATAAACAGCATAGTCTTGATTATCCATTTAATAGTTAAATCGTGAAGGAAATGTATGCAGTAAATCGGCTCACAATCCACTAAAGATCGCAGGCTAGTGATGCCATCTAGAATTGATTATGGTGTGGATAGGTTAATTAATGTCTAATTAATAATTTAGATAACATTTCAGGCCTAAAGAAAGACCTGCAATAGACAGATTTAGCTCTTGCATAATGTATGTTTAAATAATACCCAGGTTACATATATATATATCAGTCTTTCGGTATTATAAATGCCAAATGGACATTATTTTACATAACCTTATTTAGTAATTAAGCTAAAAATGATAAAAAATAAACACTTTACAGTATTTAAGATGACATCTCAAATGCTATATACTGCAAGTATCGGTGTAGTTTATAAAAAGAGTATTTTATTATAGTTCACATAGTTCTATCCGATCTTAACCCACAAAGTCTCAGAGTATATTATCTGATTGTATTTTTCTTATGATTTTAGGATTTGCCTAATGCAATGAATGCAGCCGAAATAACTGATAAACTGGGCTTACATCAATTAAGAAATCGTACTTGGTATATACAGTCAACATGTGCTACTAGTGGCGATGGATTATATGAAGGACTTGATTGGCTCTCTAATCAATTAAAAAAGAAATAAAGTCACTCCATTTATAGACAATTATTATCAATTGTTAAAAATTCTCAAAACAAATCCATCTACTAGGGTTGACTAAGTAAAATAAGAAAAAAACATGTTTGCTTATTTGGGGACATTTTACCGATTTATGTGTCATACAGCTTAAAAGACTATCCCAGTCAGCTTTTGTGGCATTTGAATTGACGTTAAATCGGCAAAACTATGTCATGAACATGAAAAACATTTCCTCAAGTCCTACATGTTGTTATGACTAAGAATATATGTATATTATAGACGTTCCCAAATCGCAAAACAAAAAGAAAGAAAATTGTACATTCTGATATAAAATTATTAATTGTATAAATATGAATATTTGTGTTGTTGACATGTTTATTTCACATTAATCTGTTCTAGAAAAGAATTTTTTGTATATCAATTGAACTTATATAGTTACTGGCACGGCATCTTGTCTAATGTTTTTAAAGTTTATTTATATCATTCGGATTGAATGATGTTGAGGTAGGGGGCATCACTATGGGGAAGGATTGGGGGTGGGGGGAGTCGGAGACTGTGATGGAAACGAAAGTGTCATCCATGTTTTATAAGTTGAATGTCTAAGATCATTATTTTATCAAATGACTAGAATGTTGTTACAATAATACAAGTGTCTATAAACTACATTAATTATACTATAAGCTTTTGTTGTGAACGTTTCTCAACTCTTTCTATACAGTGTTAGAAATAGGTATATTCGGTAATATTGTGACAATGTGCGAGTGATTTGGTAAAATTGTAATTTTGTGTGTGAAATGAAATGCTGGGTGTATATATTATTTTCCTCTCTTTTGTTGTAGCTTTGTAATTTCTCAATGTTCAAATTTCCTCTGTATAATTTCTTATATTGAAGCAAGCAAAAAAAAGGCCGTCTTGAGTCGTGAATGGCACATGGATGCATATTTATGTATGTAAGCTTTATAGTCGTTACTGTTTATCATTTCAATTCTGTGAAAACAATACATTTTATCATCCTTCATTTAAAAACAAATATACAGAACTATTATATTGTGATATTTTGGGGAGTTAAATAGAACGTTGATGAAAGACGACAAACTTTGCATCATATACTTTTTTTTACGTACACAAATTTTAGTAATTTATGTGTGTAAAGACCAGTACATAAAGGTTTATTGAATGGCTGTTTTAAAGGGAAAAAAAAATCTGTAATTTAATTTGAGCTGTTGTGTATATTATTATTTGGCAGTATTTGTAAGGTAATATAATTTCTGTGTTTAGCAAAATGAATCATATTTAAATAAAACTTCTAATTATTTCTAATAATCTGTGAGTACTATTACGGTGTACATGGATTATTATATATTTAACGGAAAGAGAGAATGGTGTCTGCACGGAACAAAGTAATAAATTAAGTAGGTTAACTCCCATATATGGTCATTTTATGTAATAAAGGAAATAAATTAAAAGCTACTAGAGTTCAAAGTTGTGTATTACATAGGTTATTTGATTCAATAATCTAGAATTGAATCCCAGTCATCAATAGCCGCTATGGAGCAGAAAAGTCGACCGTGAAACCCCAGTTAATTTTGTCACTTTGGGTTGCATTAATTTCAATACACATGTGTCGCAACCTTTGGATCAAGTGCAGCAAGTTGCATATATCAAAGCCACCAGTAATTAATTTTGAGAGTCATGCTGGCTTGCAGTGTGGGAAAGCAAGTAACTATTTTTCCCCCTTGTTGGAAGGCATGGCAGGGACAGACTAGTCGTTTGGATGGTACAGAAAACTGAGACACTGTATGGCGTAGGATGTTAAATTCCATTTCTACTCTCTAAACAATCCTATCTTGCAAAAATCTGTATCAAATTTAGTCTGATAAAAGAGCACCATGAAAATAGATTCCAGATTTTAAGTATTTTATTTTCAGTTAAAATATTAAGGCATGATATGTGCTGATGACTTGATGCCTGGTGTATATATGGTTATTAGGCTAGATCAACACAGCGATATGTTTAGATATATAACTACAGGACGTTTAATCTTTAATAAGGCAATATGAATGACGGCAGAATATAGAGAAAAAGATCTCCAAAATGTTAAAATATTACATAAATATAGATCTAACATTATAAATACATGTGCAGATTAAAATTTTTAAGATGATTGATTATGTAGCACACCTGTCTTGCAAACAGTATTCATTTGTCAGAAAACAAAAATGGTCCCATATTATTCAACTATAACCTTGGCTGAAACAATTCACATGTTAAAATTACACATTATTGCCTTAATATAAAATAAAATCCATATTGTTCTAAGAAAATGTACAGTTATGGAGAATGAGTAAAGTTTAAAAGAATAGAGAAGCAGAAGAAGGATGAATTGTTAGAAGAGTTTTGTTAGAAACAGGAATTAATATCAGTTTTACTAAAACTGGAATGACAGGAATCTGGTAGCAAGAAGCATTCTTCTTTCCATTGTTTAAAGTTTAAATAATGGTGTTATAAACAATAACCAGAATTATTCAAAAGATTGCCTATTGAAATATGTTTTAAAAATATGTGGACAAGGTGATATACTACATGGAACGTTATTATAAAATTGGAATATATATATTTAATTCTACACTATACACCATTTTACTACAACAATTACTTTATAAAACTTAATAACATGCTACATAAAGCCAACAATAACAAATTCATACAGGCTATATACAACAGATTATATAATATCATAGATAGCATCAAGGCCTTCACACATTGGCTCATACATTGATTTCAAACAACTTCACAAATGGAGTAACTCTTCTACTCATGACTGTATCGCACAAACTAGAATCTCAAAAGACAAAACATGGACATAGGCATTGTCACCTTGTTCAATAAAAGTATTACCTTGAAAATACTCAGAAGAATGGAATAATTGAGATTCTGGGTTATTTCATACCCCCAGTGTTTGTTAAATTGTTCAATAAATGAAGGATCATGTGACAAGAAAATCGTCCAATCTGACAAATACCTTGCCAATGTGTGGAGGCCCTTTTCAACACACCAAATCATTTAGTTTAATAAATGATGCATGGAAAGTCAAACCTGCCAATAAATTATGTATGGGAAGTCAAACCAGCCAATAAACTGAAATGATCAGATGTGTAGACAAGGGTTGAATAATGCATATAGAACAAATAGTAAATAAAACTATGGATACAGTATGGATGGGAATATATTTGGCTAAGATAGCTTCACATTATAATAAATCTTTTACAATAGAGTATTAAAAAAAATCATATACAAAAGCAAATGCATTTTCACCCCAAACTTGTAGAACAAATAATTCCCCATTATTGTTTTACTTCACAAATATTGCATGAATATTCTGCATTAAAATATGCATACCATTAAAATTGAACTTATTTTGCAACAAGCCCATATTTATTCAAATATCGAAAAAAAAAAATCAAAATAATATTTCATACAAGCTAAAATATATTTTATTCTTGTGGTTGTGAAAACCTAATTTCAAGATTTCATTATTCAGGAAGTTCACTGAGCAAATGTTTTCATTGTACTTTTTTTTTAAATCTTAAAAATTGGTATAGATGTTTTGAAAACCAGATCCAATAGTTTGTATTTACTAATAAAGACTAGGAATTGATTGAACAAATGTAAAAAAAAAAAAACCTTAGTTTCAAAATATTGGGTTATAAACTTGTAAAAATTCTAGATTAAACGCATTAATTAAGCAATTCGAAATATTACTAACTTCAGTTTTACACCTACAATGACTGAATCTAAAATCACATATCGGTTCAATATCCATAACATTACTGTACATTTCATTCACACAATGCATATAGATCCTAATATCAGAGGATTTGTTACAAGAATAAAAAAAAGATTTACAAAATACCATTTTATGTCTTATCAGTCAGTTCACTACCCTGGATATAGAAAATTTAACAGATTTTAAAATCATCTTGAAATTCATTGAAAAATCTTTTTTTATCAGCAGAATTATTTATAAAAAATCTAAAATCCTTTTTTAAAATCAAAGTAAACATGCTTTAATATGAGTAATTTTCAGTATATAAGTCAACTTGGTATTGGGATAAACATAGTCTTTTGTTTTCTGGAAGCCAATGTCACGTAACGTAGTACAAGTATCTTTCAGCTTTTTGAAATATACCATACTCAATCCAGAAGTATGAAACATAAGATAATGAATGGAGGTCTGGTTAGGAACAATCTGATTAAAACACAGATTTATATTTTGTTTCGTTTTTTTATAATTTCAATGGCCTACACTACATGATCTGACCAGTTGTAGTGGAAGGTCGCGTCAGGTGTCATACGAGCAGCTTTTGACCTTATGACGTCAGACATTGATTAATCAATCAATCAGCGTTGACATTTTTAGTGTTTTACCCACAGTTCCATGCACCTCACGCCAAAAACTCGCCTTAAAAGACCGTTTCATTGGCTAATTCCTCACATCATCCAGAACGCAGGTTATATAACAACTCTTCCAGATCCTAGTGTAGGAAAGACAAGTAAAACAAAATTTTGAACCATAAAAAAACGAAATGAAATAGTATCTGTATTTTAATTGGATTGGGTAAGGAAATATTTGTTAAAGCTAACTATAGCCCACTATATTTATCTATAATGAATACTGATAAAGCTAAATAATAAACAACTATATACATATAATCACAACATTAAACATATTCTGTCAATTTTCTTATTCAATCACTAACATATTGCTGACAGCCATTTTGAATGCAAATTCATGTATTGGTTTTTTGTCATTATAAATTGAACCAAAAGAATCTGAGCACTTTCTATAAGGGAACCAAATTGTTCAATCAAAAATTATTTACCATTATGCCTGAAATATTCTTTTCGTTACTGGACTCAAGAGAGCTTTCTTTGTAACTCCTGCCACCCTCCATTTAGCATTAACAATATCATCTACCTCAACTGAGAAAACATTTCACTTGTGTACTTACAATGCGGTTCAACCCAATCGTACTACTACTTCTGTAAATTGTAGATTATATGTATATGTATACAAATCTTTATATAGGCTGTATCTATGTATATCAGACTAGTGCCAAAATACATCCAAGATGATTTTAAAGACTAATGACAGAATAAGTCAAATTGTTACGATTCCTAGACTTTTACTACATTAAAGAACATAACAATATCATTTATACCGGTAATTCATGAACAGCTCTAGCTAAATGAGATGCATATCGTGGGTCCCTTATATTAGATTAGATATGACATTAGATTACTATCAAGTTTGGCTTTGTAATTTTAGTTGCCTTTTTCTAAAAATTATTTCATTTAGCCAGAGCTGGTCACATTTGTTCATAAGTGAAATATACACTAAGTACTGTTACTTTCTATCAACTAATATGCATAAATAAATTAAGTCTATCTTATATTTATTGCAATAATAATGACATATTTGTCAAATTAATAATATGCAATATACTACATGTCGGTTTTTATTATTTTTAAATTATCAATAAATTGATATTCTATTTCATAATCCTATAAAAGCTTACTGTATTATCAAAATGGATTTGCTTCCCCCATTTGAATTTGGAAATAAAATGAAAATTTAACAAGAATAATGTTTGTTTGTTATCCAAAGAATATTTTAGCTTGAGTTGGATGAAAAGCTTGTATAATATTATTAATGTATGTAAGATATGATACGAAAGTATATATGTATAATCATTGCACCAGCCTAACATAATACAATATATATATATATATATAAAAATTAAAGATGTAATAAACAAAATATTAAAACACAACCTTTTACATGGGAATTTACGTAAGATATTAAAAATCATTTATAACATTATTATTTGTTCAAACACTAGATTTAGTTTTAAAAATTGTTAAATTAGCCAGTATGGAATCTTGTTATATAAACAGTCTGGTGTATTTGAAACAATATGGCAATGTTACATTTTATTGGGAGAGTTTTAAGTCCAGCATGAATTTTGCATCTACACAACGATCTGGACTCCTAAGGCCATAAACCTTTAAATCCTTTGTTTTGTTTTGCTTTACTTCAGTTAACTCAAATTTCAAACACGTGTCTGTAGCACTCAAGGTGGAAAATGTACCTGTAATCAAGTTAAAAAATGTCTTGAATCTATTGTTAAGGTATACGAGTTACAAATCTTGAATACAAAAAATAAATATATTTTTTATGTCAATCAGCCCCTGGCCGATGTATTTCTTTTTTATCACCATATTGGTTGGAATAGACCCATAACTCCATACTTCATTTCATGACGTTCTTTATAATATTTACATAGTTATTTTGAATGTGAATATGGAATTTTATTTAACAAAGATTCTATTTTCACATTTGAATTTTACTTTCACATAGATTCAATTTTCACATTCGAATTTTACTTTCAAATAGATTTTATTTTATT